TAACGAGTGCAGCTTACAGCCAACGCCAGATCCCGCAAGATGCACACGCGTGATTGACATCTAAAAATGGCTAATAAAAGAGATCACATAAGCTGCACGAATTTTATAGTGTTGTCCCATCTCTCAAGCTTCCCGAGTTCAATTATCATGTACTTTCAAATTCTAAACGAACATAACTTTCATATTGATTTAGGGAAATAGTTAATTTCAATTTCTGCGCCCTGCTAATCGTCATGAATGTTTCGCGACCTCTTCATGTGCAGTTATTGTTTCCGTTTAACAATGGGTTCTTTGATCCTAATTTGGCCTTAAAAAAGTGCCAGTATAATTTTTTTTATACTTTTCGATAAACCTCGTATGAGGTGAAAATATTCTTCTATGTTCTACTTATTTCGAACTTAGGACTTAGTGGCAATAATATTTCTCAACTATTAAACATGTCCTGTCATTATCATGTGTCGTGCTCATGTTTTGGTCTTCAATTTCGTTACGCATTTCGTGTGATCGATGCCCTATAGTGATCTACGGTAAAGATAAATCACTAGATGATGGATTGCATCTGATTACTTTTTGCTCGATTTTCTTCAAACATGAAAGTTGTAGAAAAGTGTCCGTCAGTTGTGGCTCTCAACATATGAGTTGTAGCTTCCATGCCGCTGACTCTCTTCCCTTCTAAAAATCGAGGTAAATCATTGGCAGTCGTTAGACGGCCGACATTGTGGCGGCCTTAATTTTTACTGCGGAGGTGCATACAGCCTCGTGCTCGGCTTCTCCGCCTTGCATGATCGTCAAGTATGACTTGCAACTTGGGCCTCGAATCTACTGAATAAACCTGCCTGCTGCGCCTGACAAGGTCGATTAATTATTTGTCATATGGACTCGATCGTTATAGGGCCGGCATGTTGTGTTGTGTGTCTGCCGTTGACAGATCCTCGAGTTCCTTTCTTCTGTTTAGCCTATTTTTGGTTCAGTTTGTCATGTGAAGTATTCCGACGCTGTTTTGGTATCCTGGAATGTTATGAATGAATGTTCATTTCACTTCTCTTCAGACATTTCTGCGTTATTCATTACTTTGCAGTTCATTCAAATGGAAAGTTTCAGCAACTAATCGAAGACTCTGAACCTTGCATGGTTGCACGTTTAACTAGAGAATCTGATGAAGTATATTAATGCCAATCGTTAGCCTGTATCGCAATTTCACTAGAAATTCAAAAAGAAAGAAAATCTCACTGAAATTCACCCTATTTTCATAGGGAACGTTTCGGAGTCTAATTCTATCCTCAGTTCAAAAATTCTACATGCAAATTTTAAAATTCATCTGTAAATTCTGATTGCATCTACATTCTAGAATTTTTGAACTTATCATGGAGCTGGACTCAGAAACGCGTTTTACAAAAATATAGGGGATTTTGGGGAATTTTCTTTGTTCCTAAATTTCTAGAATGTGATGAAGTTAGATACTGCAGCAGTGGTATTTGCGACAATCGGTTGTGCCATCGATCGGTAGCAGTTCAGCTATAATTTACTAGGGATTCACGTTTATGGACACACCTTCGGTCTGGAAATAATACGTGAGCGAAAAAAATGTTATCAACGAGCGATTTGAAAGGCTGGTAAAATTCGCGTCAGTCTCTGGCTTGGAAAGCGTCCGTCATTCCCGCTCATACGGACCGGCGAAGCTATCACTAAAGCGACGTACTACAGAAAAAAGTAACAATGAAACCAATCTTTGAGGAGGCAAAATGCGCGTCAGGTTCTAAGTGGGAAATCCGGAGAGTCATTCAGAAGACAGAGCAGTGCCGCAAGTGTACGCAACGAGCGCACTGAAGATCAAAACTAACACGGCGTGCTCTTCTTTCAAAAACTTTTTCGGGTGATATTTTCGATTGCAAAGCTCCATGCCGTATGATGATATCCATAAACTAGAGTCGGATTAAGGTGTGCTTGTAGCTCAACCTGATAACTTGTACACTCGATACGCAGAGAAAAAAGTTTGAACATAAATGTTTTGTCGTATCTTGTTGAAATTTGAGCATAGAATTTGTAACAATGCAAACGAGCTGACAAATTTGAATAAGGCAGAACAATAAAATTGGCTGGGACTTGAGTTTAATGGTGCACATATATAGCGAAATCAAGAGGACTCCTCCAAGGTAAATAAGCAAGTTTTGAGGAGATCTTTCCGTGTGTTATTTGTCGAGTGAAGGGAGAGTGAACTAGAGATCGTCCATCCCCGCTCTCCTTAGGACCGTTGATGGAAATTAGTTTGTTGGAAAATTTCTAGTGGCTCTGCAAGATCGAACGACATCTTTATTTTTACAAATAATAGAAAAATTTGTTTTGTGATTAGGTCCGTTTTAGGCAGTGCCTCGAGACAGTGCCCTAGAGGCATGTCTGGTGTAGGCAGTGTCCTAGAGGCAGGTCTGTTGTAGGCATGTGTCCTAGAGGCAGGTTCGTTGTAGGCAGTGTCCTGGAGGCAGGTTCGTTGTAGGGCAGTGTCCTAGAGGCAGGTCCGGTGTAGGCAGTGTCCTAGAGGCAAGTTCGTTGTAGGCAGTGTCCTAGAGGCAGGTTCGTTGTAGGCAGTGCCTCAAGACAATGCCCTGAAGCGCGCGACTTTCACTTCAAGCCTGCGCGCATGTCGCTTTCGTGTGCATCGTTGACCCCGATACCGCACCTGGGGGATACCGGGCGTGTTGATATGCAGCTGAAGCGTCAAGGTGTGGTACGTAGCACCGAATAGATCGTTGAACATACTCAAACATTAGGCCTGTCCAATTAAACTTTATTTTAAATTAAGTTATAAAAAAATCAATAATCCTCTCCAAAGATTTATCTGTGTATCGTATCGCTATACCGCTATTTAAGTTTCTTTGAGTTGAATTATTAATATAATAACTCACGGTAGCCGCAATTTCTATTGTTTGTGTAATTTTCGGAAAATCAAAATCATAGATTTTTAGTAAGTCGTCATGGGGCAGTATTCAAAAAATGGCAATTACGTACTTCTTCTTTGGGTCCCGTAATAATGTGTTGTAGTCTTGTACTTATGCGAGAATAAATCAGCGCTGATCATGCAAGTTTTTTCCATCTTCATATAAAAAAAAAAACAAATTTTTTGACGGTCGGTAGAAAGTGTTCGATGTGTCTTTTCAACTGGCTGGGAGACAGAGGCATTATTCATATGTTAGCATACGTTTTTGTCATTTGTCTGGGTCCGTTGTATGGATTTATCTTCATGACTTGCATGCCGACGATAAAGCTCTTGTGGATATTCCACATTTTTTAATAAAAGAAAGCTGAATGTCTCCACCACGTGACGCAACGCTCGGGGAGGGAAGGACGAGGCTCGACAACTTTTACAGTCTATATCTGGTTATTATCCCGAATGGTCAAAAAAATAATGTGCGCCGTTCAATGAAATATAAATAGAAGTTTTTGTTTGCCGTGAAAGAAATGGACTAAAAACTGTCCTGCGTGAAAGCATAAGCCTCAGAAACACCACAACGGCAGTTGAGGCCCACAGAGAAAGTATGCTCTTCATTCAGCATGTTTTTATGTGGGCGCTCTTAGCCCAATACTGGATTAAACTTGAAGGTTCATCGGGCAAAAAACCTAATTACTAGTGAGGGAATTGTTTCCGCTTTAGCATTACTCGACCGCAAAGGTCAATGGCTTCGAGTTGGGACAACCAAGCTGTAGTGTCATGAGTAGCAGCATGAAGTGGAAGCAGCCGTGCACATAAAAGCCATGGAGCTAGTGAAGCCAGCCACCAAAATGTGCCATGCATCAAAAGTTATAAATAGGTTTCTTGCCTCGATTTTTTTTTCAAGCGTCATTATCATACGTTGCTTCATTACTTTCTCTTGCACTCAAATTTAATTTATGTTCATTCTCGATGAGGATGAACTTTCGTTTTGTTTCTCTCACCTTCTATGTGATGTGCAACTCATCTGCGCAGCTGTGCACACGGCGCCATTTTTTTAATCTCTAACAATACAGATCTTGTATTAGTTTTTACAGCCCAAACTTTCAATTCCCAAGGCATTTTTTGTTATGAAGTCGGAGATTAATTTTTCGTTTCTTCTACGAGGTCTTCATATAATTACCAGATAAATCAAGACATAAAAGAATTTTACGGTCACCGAACGAGTCATGGAAAAAAATAAGCTTATTTTTCAGATTCCTTTATGAGAAAGCTTATTTGTTTCTTCTTTTTTGTCGTCAAATCAGCGACGTGAATGCGCAAGAATTTTTTTTCGCAGCTTTTTACAATGACGCGCAAAACTATTCATAAATTTTTAAGCGGTTATATTAGCATTTTAACTCTTCTCATGGATTTATTCCGCTAAGTGAATTCTTGATCACTGAAACCACTGTTAGCACTTCAAGTGTTAACAGTGATTTGCTTTAAACTCGTAATTATGCGTGTTATACATTTTTATCCGTTCAGATCCATTCTCGTGTCTATTCATTTTTCGCTTGCTATTAAACTTATGTGCAACATGCCCTCGAAGCTAGTTTGAACAAGACGCCACGATAACTGCTTCATAGGAATAATAATAATAGCAATAACTTTCTTCACGATACAGAAGACAGGATGATGGCATAAGATATAACATTATAAAACGCCTTATTTTCCCATGTCAGTTCATTATTTATTTCTTCTCTGTTGAGTGAGCGCTTCTTTTCATTTTTTTATTCCAGACATACCGGAACATAAATTTTTCGGCAGAATGTTCCCCTTTTGCATCCTTCAAGTTGAAGTTTCCACATGCATAGATTACTCGAATACCTGGCTCACTACCTCATTTTTCCAGAAATTTTTTTGCAATATTTCTCTTATTAATATCTTTGCATGAAGGTCTCGGTATGACTTTTTACATAATTTTAGTAAAACACCAAATTCGCTTTTCTGCTTTCACTTCGAAACTTCCAATTTGTTCCAGTAGATAATTTCACTTAATATACACACGCTTGTCTGACCACACCCACTCTTGCAGATGGCGCTGCCCAGCTCGAGGCGGCCTCGCCGCGGAGGCACGGAAGTCGTTGGCCGCTGCTTTCCTGCCGCCGGGGCTTCCGACAACAGAAATGATGATGGACCAATGAGTAGCATTTCCAGCGCCAGAAACCTCAACGACATCCCGATCAAAAGGAGCTGCAACTTCAGCGCTGAAAGCCACGCTGAAAACACAGACAACTTTTGCAGTAACCGCACGAAAAGTTTCAATGATAAAAAATCAAGTTGCGTATATGACAGTGTACAGAGAGTGAGCAACATGCGCGTCTCTCATCCAAGCACTCTCACCTGCGGTCAAAATGACGGCATCTGTGGTAGTGGTAATGCTAGTCTTAGATTCGATTGCAATGTTAACAAGAAATGTGGTTCTGCAAGTGGAGAACTAGTTAGAAATATTTCTTCAGGAGGGGTTTGTTATCTCGTTAGAACTTTTGTTGTTAGAAATGAACGATTCGCCAATAGAAATGGCAGAAGCTCGGTGCCTCTGAAGGTTGTGAGCACCATTTACTCGTCACTATTCTTGTTCCTGTTAGTTTTATCGTTTCTTGACCTATCAATGTCGACTGATAATCAGCGACGACAATTACTAGGCAGATCTTTAAACCATTTAACAAATTCAGCTCCTAAAGTGCCGGACAAGCTTGTGAGACTCTTGAAAGATTCTGGAGTAGCGACAAATAATGTGAAGAAAAACAGAGTCAAGAGATTCAGTACAGATAGTCATAGTCTGGGGGCAAATGAGACATCCAGTGAAGGAAGTGAAAGGAAAAGTCGTGGTCTGACTTGGGGTGAATACATATCCAAGTCGTCTGAAGCTCCGGCGACGGCCAATTTCTATACTCCGACTCCAGCTCCTTCGTATTTTGCTGATCATTTTCATACAGAGCCCTTTAGCTGGTCTCACAGTGCATTCCAGCCAGACTCTGTGGCAAGTAATCTGCATCATTCGAAGACCTCAGCAGGTTTGCAGGGTTTTAACAAGTTTGATACCAACGCACGCAGGTTAGATTTATACGAAAAAAGTCAAACATCTGAATTTATCGATCCAAATACTGCGACGCAATCCCCGCTAACCGATAACGCAGTTTTGGACAAACTAGCGCACTATTTGCTGTATGGAAGCGAAGAAACTAAGAAAGAATTTCAAGGAGACGGACTCGCCGATGAAAATCTTAATTCAGGACTGAACTCCGATCGCAATAGCGGCGCAGAAACATCCTTGGGTTACGACCAACACGAAGTCACGAATGACAACAACCATCCAGACCATCAACTTGTCGACCCCGAGTCTGCTGCTTACTATGACTATTCCGACGGAACAGATGATGATCCATGGAACTCGTCGGCTCCCCGTAACAATTCCTCTAATCACCAAGATGCTCAGTCTATGGACATGAAGAAAATAATCAAGGATCTTTCAGACCTAATAGACATTTTGCCTCAACATCTGGAGGAGCTGAGTGGTGAGAAACAAGGCGAGAATGTTTCCGATCAGGCGCCCGTCATTCCCAACAGAAAACAAAATTCAAACAATGACAATTTTAGACATTCCGACGAATATATTTTACCTCAGAATGGGGCTAATAAAAATGAGAAAATCGGAATGACCGAAGAGTTCCTGAGAGATATTTTAAAGAGTAAGCTAAGTGCAATCAGTTCTACGCCCGCTCCTCAACTTTCAGCTCACTTTCAAAGCCCGAGAATCAGGCCAATCAATTTTTCGTCCACGACCCCAAGGTTTTCCCAAGACATTTTTGATTCGTCTACTGCAGGTTCACTCACATCCGTCAAAGATCTTCAGAAATTCTTCATTAAAAGCACGCCAGCTCCATTGGAAAAAAGTTATCCCATTGGGATCCCTTCTACGACCGAGTCTCCCTGGCGCCGATCGCCACCTCATACTCGTGACCACATCCGAGCTTATTTTGCTTCCTCAAAACCGCCGCTCAAAGAAGACAATAAAGTTACTCTTAAAGCCCCGCTATCGCCGTACATGATTGGGTCCAGTGAGAGAACTACGCAAAGACCCGAGATCAAATGGTTTACGACGACTAAACAAACATACCGCCGGGCTGGTTCATCCAGCAGTAAATTTCGAGAGTCAAATTCGGACTCAATTAGCCCCGTTATATTTACATCTAAACCCATATTCACGCAAAAAGACGAAGAATTCTCGACCACCACACCAGTACCGAGTTTCCAGAAACCTCTTTCATGGACTACAGGACCATCTTCTTTCATTGAAACTGTGACTAAGAGGCCCTCTCCCTATTATAACCATAATATCACCTCAATTTTGAATGGGATCAAGTCCAATTTCAGGGCCAATCTTGTGTCAACTAATAGCAGTCACAATGAAACGAAGCAGAAAGCTCAAAAGAGAACTTTGGATTTACTGTATCACATGTTTGTAGACCCTACGACTGACGAGAATGGAAACCGAAGAAACACGTTGTTTGAAGACGTTATTAAAGCCATCGATAATCACATTATAGGAGATGTCGTAGCGCTGAAAGAATACAGTCGAAGTGGTGCTAAAGGTCAGTCTCACTTCAGAGAGAACAACGGAAATTTCTTCAAAACTCTTTTGGAATCTATTGGTTTTGACGAACCCTTCATGAAATCTACTGCCGAGGCTTTTTCTGCTGTGTCATCATCATCATCGTCTGTTGGTGGTGGAAGTCGAAAACCTCCACGAAGACCTGGGTCAGCTCAGCAACCCTCGGGATCGAGACGCGCCACCTCAGGAGTACATGTAGACCCTGCGACCTCGGCTCGCCCAACCCAATCGCAGGTGCGAAGTCCTTCCCTGAAAGAGCATCCTTCAACAACCGATAACTCTGGAGCAGCTATTGGTCACCCACACGTTGAAACTCTTCCATCTGGCAACGAATTCCTGTTAACGGATGAGTTTGGTGAGAAGCAAGTGATCACCATCGAGGACATCATCTCTTCCCTTTCTTCTCTTGATGAAGCCGAACTGGGAGATCTGCTCCAGGCTAATCGACGATCAGATGACGATGTTGAACGAATCATTGCGCGACAATCAGCTGAAGTTCAAACATTAAATGAGTATCATCCAGACACATTCAAAGTTAACAATCTTATCATCTTGGGTCCCAATGGAAAAAGCGAAACAATTCCGTTTGACCAAATTGCTTCAACTCCTGCAGAGGAATATCAGCTGACAACGACCCCAGCACCGATAGTACTTGCTGCTCAACATTTACTGGGGAGCCATGTGCCAAACGAGCAATCGGCTTCTAATCCAACCGTTCAAGCGGCACAACATCTTTTCGGTTTCGACCGCAGTGTTCAAACAAGTGAATCAAATGACCGAAGGCATTCTTCGCACGTCTTTGGCCCCCACTCGATTTCTTCCAATGTGCCGTCGAAAGGAAAAGTTTTCCCTACACAAAATTCTCCTCACATACCGTTCATTGACACGTATTCAAAAGAAAATGCAAATGTCATGGCTCCGACACAAGCTTTTGCAAGCGAAGATTACAATATAGACGGATCTGACGGTAATGCACAAAACTCCGGTTATAACCGTCCTGGTGTTCGACCATTTTATGATGACAGACAAAGTTTACCCAGCCTAAGCCCAAATCTTCAGCAGATATTTTCAAATGAAAAAGAACAAGCGCAAAGACTCCCGTTGGGGAGTTCGCGCCTGCAAACATTTTCTGGAGAACAAGAAATTAACAAACATCAGAACACATTTAAAAGTTCATTGTTAGAATTGGAACATCAACAAAAAGTTCACCTGGAGCAAAAACTGGCTCTAGATTTAAAACTAAAGCATCAAATTGAACAGCTAAAGCGACTCCAGACGGAGTTGGCTGTATTAGAAGGACATCCAATTGATGTTCCAAATGAACAACGTCCAGATTTATTCCCGCTCAATTCTCACGTGATTCATAGCGAACAAAAAATCAACTCCGATCCTCCAATTTCTAATGAGAAATTCAAGCCTGCGAGAAAGATTTCCGTCGCTTCAATCCCTCTAACGCAGACGTTGGGCGGGACTGGAATTCACAGCATGCTCAACAACCAAGAATCCTCGAGCAAGGAAATTAATCAAATTTTGTTGAAAGCTATTTCAGATTTACAGTCCAAGGAAGTAGGAAGCAGTCGTATCGAAGCTAGCACGTTTAGAACTCCTACGCCTCTGATCTCAACCGAGTCTGAATTGGGACCGAGTCATCACGCCAGCTCATCAGCTTACGCTGAATCTGATCATCAAGTACCAGGAAATAAGTTCGTTCCGCGGATAAAGGGAATTGGGAATAATGAAAACGCTTTTCCCAACCATGATCACCATATGTCGCATATCAATGCTCATCAGTATTCACAACCCTCCTCACTATCGTCAGCTTTCTCGACCTCCCAAGTGCACAAACCAGCGTTCTCGCCTTCCAATGCACAGTTTCAAGATCCTCCTGATTTATCGCAAATACGGCTTCCTACGATACGTTATTCATCAGAAAATATCGGATCAAACGTAAATCCATCAGATTTTTATGGAAGTAAACCACACTCCGGGCAACCTGGATCCTCGTTCCGAGATGTCAGCCTTCGAGATTACCACGTTCACGATCCATATTTTGGAAATGATGAAGACGAGGAGCAAATTACTGATACGGAAAATGCACATGAGAAAGAGCGTGAAGTTTTTGCTTCTCAGATGTATGAACAGGTCGTTAAATCCCTTCCAAAGCCAATTCATTTCAAAAAGACTACAACCACTACCACGCCTTCCCCAGCGAAACCCCAATTATTTGGTTTTGACTTACCCAATATATTCCCATCTCCCCATTCACACTCGCACGCTCAGCCTCGAAACGACGTTAAAGAACCTGAGAATGAGAGTAAGGAAGAGCTCAAGTGGAGCGATCCCCTGGGCCTCCTAGGAATCTATGATTATCTTCCATTTTCGCGGAAGCAGAGAGGGGAAAAGAAGTCAGCCGTTAAGGTTACTACTCCTAGGCCCATTAGCCCTGAAAAGCGCCTACAAGAGGCACTCCAACTTGGAAATGTTCCTCCTCATGTTAGTAAAATATTGATGAATCAGATGAAGGCAAAGTCCACAGGCATGGGTTCGAATGAATTCGTGCAACAAGCCACCCGACGTCAGTTTGATCGGGTTCCAGAGGTTAGATATCGATCTGTACCCGAAAGAAGATCTTTCGCGACTTCACGACAAGGTTCCCAATCGAGATCACAGCACGCAGAACCTCAAAGAAGAACCGGATCAAGCAAAACCTACCCGTCACCAAAAATTCGTGCTCGGAAGTTTGGTCCACCAAACCAAAGCTCTTTGGCATCGCATGCTCAGCTGCCCACGGGATACCACCCTTCTTACTCTGATCGTCCCCAGTCATCGCATTTCGGAGTCTTCAACAGTGAGGATGGCCACGGAAGTCCTTATAAGTATCTCGAAGATGACGGTCACGGCAGTGATTATTCCAGTGGACTGAAGTCCCAATCCCATAACGAGTACGAAGACGAGCACGGACACTCGCATGGTCACGACAGTACTGAGTACGACACGTACGTTGTGCCTCTCGGCCAAAAGGGGTATGTGAAGGAAGCACAACCTCTCTTCGACTTGTCGCTCCTGGTCCACAACGTAAAAGTGGAGCAAATCGGCGAAGAAAATGAATCATTTTCGTTCCCAAAGATTGGCGACCCGTCTAAATTTGTGAACATTTATCGGCCTCCTCCTCATTACAAGAGATAATACCGTGATCTTCTCACCGACAGGGTGGTTATCCGCGGTGTCACTAGTGGCGGCCAGTTCAACTTTCAAATAATAACCGCCACTATTGGCCGTGCTACTGGCCTCGTCTATAGGTGCAACTGGCCTTGGAAAGACTCGACGTGAACAGTAGCGGGGTAAATAGTGGCGATTGGAAAGTTACAGTGGCCCCCACTAGTGGCACCGTGTACCCGCAACCTATATTGGCGAAGAATTCGAAAGAAAGACAAAACTTTTCATAAGTCTGATTATTATTCTAAATAAAATGGGTACGTGGATCTTTATATGTGATAAAAATACATTAAGAAGGATTATATTGTGGCCTTATATAATAAAAAAAGAGTACGAAATAGTTAAAGTTGCAACGTTGGCTTTACTGCAGATACTGGAAAGCAATTTGATATTTATTTCGCTATGCCTAGTTTTCATAGGATCAGTATAATAAATTAGAACTGCATTAAATTTTCACGGTTGAACTATTAAGTTATGATCGAGTTTTCTATTTACTTATTCACTCGGAACTATTAAAAGATTAGGAATGTTTTGCATGATACTTTGTTTTATCGAGTTTCTAGCTATCTGAGCAAGAAACAGTACCTATCGAGAAAAAAGCCGTCCTGTGTAACTTTTCAACAAATAGCGTTACAATCCTAGTCTCTCGTTGTGCATCATTAAAATATCATTATAAATATTTCTGGTTATTGTTTTCCTTTGTAGATCAAACCTTTTTTATTCTTGTGTTATGATTCCGGCATTTTATATGATCAATGAAGGTGTTACCCTGTGTGTTATCTTTTAGTTATCGGATGGTGCGTGCCTGGTCTCCTATTATGAAGCACGAAATCAAAATATGTACTTGCAAACCTTAAGTTTTCGTGTACAACTAAGAAAACCGGTAGATTTTAAATTAATGTATTTATTTGTACATTTATAGTCTCTACCTTCTTTCTTCATTATATCATCTTCGGCGGAAATAAGTATATTTTCGACGCAGCAATTTTGTAATTTTTAGTGCTTCTACGCTCTGCATTATTTGCATCATTTGTTGACATATCAAAGACCTCCTCGCGGCGCTTCTCCCTGCACTTATTGAATAAAGTGCGTTCACAATAGAAAACTTTTTGTAAATTATATTTTTTCCAGTAAATATATTGAACGGGAACTCATGATTTCTGATTTGAGTTAATGTAGAGGTTCTTCGTAATTAGTTTTTTTGGTCAATTTTTTTTAATACATTTTCTGGAAATGCTCAAAGACGTTATACCCTTTGCCATTTATCTTTCCTGCGAGAAATGATTTATTTGGCATTTATTACTAATATGTTTGAAACTAAGTGAAACTGATATGTTTTGTTTAGTCCCTCCTTTGTTGTTCCGAATCTCTGAATGTCTTGTTTGATCTTATATTGACCATTAATTTATTTACTGTCTTTTACTGGCCCATGGCATTCCACACCCTGAAATTTCATGGCGGCTAACGACGTCACGCTGGAAATACAATACAACTTCCAAGGAAAATTTCGAATTAACTATTCTGTAATGTTGCACTTGGAGCGCATGCTTTAGGGTGACCAACATTCACGATAGACTGATATTTTATTGATCACTGTATAGGCTCAGAATCCTCATAAATGATGTTATCTCCCGTGGTGGGGCTGGCCAAATGTGTCAAGGACTCGCGTCAAGAGCGTCAACATTGGAGCAGTGAGTCCATCGTGCGATCTCTGTTAGTTTTAAAATTAATGATCAAAATCGGCGGGGTGAACTGCTGGTTAAGAACGCCATGATAACAGAAGGAAGTCTTGGTTAAAAACCGCAGCAATCTTTTAAAAATTTTGCCATGTCTAGAATTTGGAAAAAGACAAACTTAGTGTCAATCCTAAAAAGATTTATTATATTGCTATCAATTGTAGCACGTGTAATAGTCAGAGGGCCCATAACATTCAGCATTCCCATGCAGGTAGCGTTGTTCCAGAGCGCACCATCACAGAGCTCGCTGTAACCGACTAACCAAGTCTCAGTTGTGAATGGGGTCAAGTGTAGGCATGATGCCTTGCTTCTTTTCTTTCGTTATCGTGCACGCGGTCGATGGCTCGTGTCAGCGATATTCTGTTTCGTAACTATTTTATTGTGTCGACTTGGAACTTCTTCACTCTGGGAGTCTATTGCAGTTACTGCCTTGTCATCTATAGACGGCTTACCATTTGTGACGGTCCGCCTTTTTGGGTTATGAATAATTTTTTATTTTTAGAAGATTGAGACTTTGCTGGTTTTCTTTATTTTGCGACATCTTGGCTGGGCGAGGTTGCTTCATCGCATGCTTTATACTACGCATGCTCTAGTTAACTACCTAACCACACTACATACTTGCATACTAGGCACCTAATCTTCTATGTTGTCGATCGGCAAGCATTCTTTTAACGCTCTCGTGTTTTCGTAGTCCATACACCTTGTGCGTTTGTTCAATGCCGACAAATAACCTACGTTTGTATGCGTCGTGTTATTATGAAGACTTCGTACGATTTAGTTATTAAATTTCTGTACATTATTCTTGGTTCTATTCCTGCGGGCCTCTGTGCTGCATGCATCATCAGTCCCATTTCGCTCACATCGAGGTTCAATGTTATTTGCTTGCTCTCACAGAATAAAGTGGTCGTGAATGATGACGCACGCGCCCATAAGTTCATTATATCGTAAACATTCTTCCGAGATGACAAGTTCTGCATTCATATTCATGAAATTAAATCATTAATTGATGGGTTCTATGTTAGAACTTATGGAGAATGATTGGCCAAGGCGGGCACGAAAAACAATGATGCGTAATTTACAGTGCGGAGTTGACCAAAAGTTCGCTTAGGTGGTGTTGCAGCATACTTGACATTTAGTCTCTGGAATATAAAATGATTTATTTACTGTGCGGAACAATGAACTTAATCCTGTTATCGCAGTCGCTGATAAGCAAGATTCAATAAGAGACGGACGACAAATCGAATTCGTGCTTTTATCTTGATGAGCTTCGGGATCTTTCAGGTCCTCATGTTGTTGGGATTTAGAGGCTTTGAAACGATTAATTATTCAAGAATTTTCGTGCAAACTTCGGTGCTATAATTATCGTGTTTTTTTTTTGTTAAATCAAAAAAATTTTCGTTAAATCTTGAACGAAACTTGGAAAATGTACGCGGTTAACAAGTTTGCTGTATTGTTTGTCTCATTTACTATGGAGAAATTTCAATATGTTGTGAGAAATTCTTGTAGTCTGGTTTACGTACTACATAATATCACATTTGTTGAGTAAGAACCGAGTGTGCAGAACTTCTGTCTCTGATGCAAACTTAAACTGTGTAGGATTGTGGAATAACCAGAAACTGTACCAGCGACATCGTTTATCATTCTTGCATTCTGATCTATCTTGTTGACTTTTCATAGAAACTTGTTATTGAATGCTTTTATTTAAACAAATTTCTAAAATGCTAGTATTTTTATTATCCAAAGTAAAAACTTCCATGTTTGCTTAGAAAATAGGCACGCTAATTTGTAAACACTTCTTTATTTTCTTGATGACTGAAACCAGTACGTTATACGTCGTCAATGTTATCTGTATCTAAGCGCTATAGTCAACTGCTACGTTATCTTCATTAAACAAAGAGTTAAACTTGAATGTCTACTGTAAATAAAGTAATTGTCATACGACAAAGAATAAATCCGCTGCGTGTGATTTTTCGCCATTCTCGCTGGGTCTCGAGTTTAGATGTTCAGTGGTAGCGAACCGAATATTGGCCCCACCTTATTTACAGCAGGAGGCGAGCAGACTGGTCTGTGTTTATCCCAACGCAAATCAAGACGACGAGAATGAAAGCTATGCTTGAAGTTACGCATTGGAAGCAGATCTCTTTCTATAGTTTTTTTTTCGAACATGATTGGTGGGCTTCGCATAAAAAATCTACTTTTATGTGACTTTTCAAGCTGATCCTTTAGCTTTTCGTCTAGGAACTAATTATTTTTCACCCGTTTTCTAATTCTCCCATCGTTTTTATCTAATTTTTTATGAATCATTCCACAGCTTGATTTTTACTGCAATTCGCGTCGAATTTCGTATTTGAGACTCCGTAAGATTAAAATTTTGATGTCATTTCTAGTTCGAATTTTTACTACATTTAAATATTTTGCGTGAATAATAGTAACTAATGCAAAAGTAGCGATGCTGTTTCAACATAACGTTCAACTCTTGCAAGTATTTTACACACTGTATACAAATTTATAAAGACATTCTATAAATTAAGAACAATTGAATTAGTTTGGTACTGAATTTGGAAAATATCCTGATTTGCAAGGAATGTTTACTCCTTCGGTTTTAAGTAATCGACATCAAGAACCAACCAAGCTTTATTGACACTGATAGCATTACAACTCCCGCTATCAAGTGCCTAATGTGTTATCTTTGAACTGTCCTAGAGATGGAGTCGGGCGGCTCGAACAAAGACGGTCGGCTCCTTTGAACTGATAAAGTGTCCGCAGTTTGAGCTTTGACTATACCGATAACGATCATGGCTCATAATTTAACCATAGTTAACGACTATTACGTGCCAAACCACTTTGCATCGCCCTAGCATGTTTTAAGAACAGCTTAATAGTACTTTACCTCTTGATAACACGATGAATAAATTAGCAAAACTCCCTCCAACTGTTCAAAATTTTAATTTCGAAGAATGATCACGAAAGTCCATGCTTTTTTCTGTTATATATTTAATTGCTTATCATGCAACGAAATTATAATTGTAGGAATCGCATAAATCGTTTCGGTAGCTCTTGATATGAAGTCCCAACTCCTCCGGATTTCACCGAGACCTTCTCACCTTCTTTTTAACACGTTTTTAACACGTTTTTCTTAGCTTAGCTTCGCGTTTGTTTGTTTGTTTGTTTGTTTGTTTGTTGTTAACATTGACAACGAAAATTAGCCCACTTCTGATTGTTCTAGAGATCTGAAATTCGGCATGCAGGCTATTTTCGCCTAACAATTTCAGATACAATCATAAAAACTAGTAATTAGAGACCGAAATTAGTTTAATTGAGTAAAGTATATATATAGTATATATATAGTATGACGTGCGGGCGCTCACGTTATAGACGAGCAGGCGCTGACGCTGCGTATCATCGATACGTACGTCAAGTCATACTTAATCAAGTCTTAATCGTTTTTCTTGTGGACTAAAAAGTAGAAAATAAAATACTTAAAAAAACTTTTTAAAAAAACACGTTTTTCTTGTGGACTAAAAAGTAGAAAATAAAATACTTAAAAAAACTTTTTAAAAAAACACGTTTTTCTTGTGGACTAAAAAGTAGAAAATAAATTATGGTTCGCCCCAAAAAAACGTGGGTCGGGCTGTACGTTCACCATCAAATTTCCAAAATTTAAGTGTTGTGTGCTTTTCGCTTTAATCATAAATCTGCCCGACACACGTTTTTTTGGGGCGAACCATAATTTATTTTCTACTTTTTAGTCCACAAGAAAAACGTGTTTTTTAAAAAAGTTTTTTTTAAGTATTTTATTTTCTACTTTTTATTCCACAAGAAAAACGTGTTTTTTTAAAAAGTTTTTTTTTAAGTATTTTATTTTCCACAATAAATTTGTCCTAAGCTCATCCAATTAACGTAGATGTATCTAACCTAATTGGACAATGAAATATTATTTACAGTGTCGTCGATTACGACCATGCAAGTTATTGCGGCTACAAATCGTGGCGAGATTGTTAATAAATATGCACAAATGGGATTAAAATGAGCTCATCGAACGTGCAAATTTTGCTTGTACACTCAGAAAATGAATGGGTCATTTTGTTCAAAAGTTACATACATTCTGCACGAGGGTAGAAAGTGCATCGCTATTTGAGCAAAGTTCCAACCAATTATTTGATTGTGGAAGCATAAATCGATGCTTGTATTCTGTTCGATTTGCTATTATTTACTGAATGCAGTATATATCTTTTTTAAATTATAAGTAAAATGCGTTTTTTTTAATCGTTAGAATGTTTCTTAGAAAAAGCAAATCAGAAAACGATCATGGAAATTAACATACTGAATATATAAGAAAATTATAATTTCTCGAATTTGCAGTTGCAGATTTTGAAGAGTATAAAAAAAACTGTAAAACGCTAAGCGCTTGTATAGAACGATAGAAATCTTCAACCCTCTGAATTTCAAACACAACCCGAGTAAAAAAAAGCGGGGAGTTAGCCGTAGGCCGCAAATTTTACGAATTTTACGCCCAGTCTCTTTTTAACACATCTATGGAAATTCGCAAACAACGTCTACAGCAATTACCAAATAATGGCAAAACAATAATGGTTCAAACAATTTTTTTAAGCAATTATACGTACAACATTGAATATCTATTTATTTTCAATGTTTTATGTGTTGATTACTCGACATTATTCATTTGATTTTGTTAAATGTATCTCGCTAATCGTGATACGGAACATGACTGACATCAACCGTGCCGTCCGCCGGAGTGAGGCCGGACCGCTAAATGATCAGTGTTTACCATGACTTCGTAGTGTGAAGAGTGTCCTCTTAGTTCACTCCTTGACGTCCTTGTTTTGCTCCAACTCTATAACCGTTTCTGCCTAAGAAGCAGTAACGTCTGCAAAAGAATCATTTATTCTTAATTACATTTGTAAATAATTTTTCGAGCGTGATGATGAATAATCAACATGGTAAAGACTATACTTGTGCTAGTGGTGTTATTAACAGAACTTCTTAGTAAACTCTCAGGTGAGTCCCGTGAGTGTTGTGAAATAAAGTTTCTAAGAGATTTCCCTTTCAGTTTTTAATTTTAGGTAATCAAATTAGATTTAATTGCCTGACTTGCTTCAACTTTCTTGCCTTGCTATGCTATAACACTAATAAGTAATAACAGTATGACAGCTCAGACTGCTATGTTGCAGTAAAGTTCACAATCTTGAAGTAAAAGATGCTATACTACTTAACTTTATGATTAATCATTAATAATTTCAGCCTGTAGGAATAATTTTTTGTTTATATTTTAGTTGATTACCTTAATGAAACACAAATTAGAAATATCAAATTTTTTAAATATTATGACTCAAGCAAGCACTGCAGCATTTTGGTGAGCATAAAATGATAAGGCTCCAATCATGAATCATCTAATGCTCAATTGTCATGTTATTTGATTCTGGCTCTAAATTTCAATCCTAGCTTGCAAATGTCTTATTCTATAGAATTTGAACTTCTATGGTTTGGTAATTTATAACCCCAACTGGAAATTTAAGGTACTGGTAATGAACAGGCATACCACATACGATAAGTAACAATTCTTATGAAATTACACAGGAAAGCAGATGCACATATTTCATGAAAGATCTTGAACATTCTCACAGAATTACTGTTTCCAAGAAGGCAAGAATCAATATTTAGATGATTAACATCTCTTTTCAGTCTAATAAAGATTATTATTTGCATTGCCCCAATCATAAACATGGAAAAAAATCTTACATAAATTGCCTTGGTAAAATGGATTTGTCATAGCTTTTTCCACTGAGAATGACACTCTGCAAGCAACAGTTGCCGCCTTGGCACCTCCTATAATGCAGACACGCAAGCTTGATGAATTAATCCTTGGTTTTGATGCAGAAATGTTTGAAAATTGAAATGAAGTTTTGATGAGACGGACACATAACAGCACACTGGCATGGAATATATCTACTTGGCAAGTCGCGACTGAATTTTTCGAGTCGTGGTTTTATGGATTTGCCAGCTTTGATTCCATTTTTTCGCGCTGTGATTCCATTTCACCAAGCCGTGAATTCCATATCTCGGCCATGAAAAGCCATTTACAAGGCGCAAATTTATTTACAGAGTCCATGCACATATTATCCCAAATCTCTAATTTTACCCTAAAACAGTCAAACTGCAACAATAAAATTTGTCTTTACTGTAAGTTGAGCACGTGTTAGTGCAGTCTGACCGCTTTGACATGACCGCAACTATGCACAATCTTCAACAAAACGTTAAGTTGATTTGTTTACATTACAATGTTTGTTTTTTCTGCAAGATATTTTGACAGGAACGGTATAGCAATGTGGATTGCGCAAGTTGAAAATTTTATGAAATGACATGTTTGCGAAGTGCAAACCGCGATTTTTCAATCGAACAATAATTTATGACATTCGAGCCGCGAGATTTTATAACTACTGAAATTATATGATGTGAGAGCTGTGATATTTCAGACAAAATTAGGACTTTTCCAACCCTGACAGCACAAGCACAGCAATGATCCATGACAGGCTTGAGTCTTGAGAGCAAAACCCAAGTTCCCAACACGTTCCTATTTACTGCAGGAAAAAAACACATCTGAACAAACTATTTATTTAATTGCAAATGAATGTCTTATTGTTGATTATGCACCCTCTCATATTCAGTGAGTTGGGGCTCTGTGGTAGGTATTCACTCACAGACTGTGCAATATGATAGGCAATGAGCATGAACCTTTCTCCTGGTACCGTAAAATGGGGTAACTTTGACCATTTTTTTTTCAAAATGATGCCATTTTTTTACTAGATAAGTTAAACTTAGATTTAAACATGCAAAATACAGGTCTATACTTTAGCTTTACTCACCATAAATTGCTGGCTCCTGCTTCTCATAGTTTTGATGTAATTTAAAAAAAAGTGATGGTCTTTGTTACCCCAGCTCTTGGGGTTTCTTTGACCGGGTGGTAAAATCTATTTTATTTTTTGGTAAAATAACTCCAAATAACTCCAGGTTGTGGTGCATTGTAGTAGAACTCTTCTAGTTACATATGCAAAAGACAAATTTTAGGAAAGTGTCATAGTTTGCAAATGGGGGGCGCCACCCCCCAATTGGTGAAATATGACCACCTAATGGCAGTCATGACAGGGTAACATTGACCGGTTTGGAAATTAAGTTAAAATTACCATATATAAGACTCTGTAGAGTCTGAAACACGGTTTGGAAATTAAGTTAAAATTACCATATATAAGACTCTGTAGAGTCTGAAACATAAAGAAAAAACATTAATAGGTGTATCAAACATAAAATATGTTATATAGGTACCAATGATAATTTTAACTTAATTTCCAAGCTGGTCAATGTTACCCCGTCACGGCTGCCATTAGGTGGTCAAAGTTCCCCCATTGAGGGGCGGCGCCCCCCATTTGCAAACTATGACACTTTCCTAAAATTTGTCTTTTGCATATGTAACTAGAAGAGTTTTACTACAATGCATCAAAACCTGGAGTTTTTTTACCAAAAAATTAAAAAATTGGAGGGGGTACTCCGACAGGCTTTAAAGAATAGCTCTTTTTCATGGGTCACATTATTAATTTTTTAACCTATTAGATATGCAAACTTTTAAATCTTTCTATTGTGTTACATAGCCTCAGTATTAGGCCTTTCATGGCCATTGACAAAATTTTTCTATGTCAAATCGTTTTTGAGTTTTTGGGGTTTTTGTTAAAAAAACGAAAAGTGGTCAAAGTTACCACGCCGGTCAAAGTAACCCCATTTTACGGTACAGTAGCAACTGTTCTTTCACACATTCGGCTAATTTTTCTGGCTTCATGCTTTGAAATTTGCATGGATTTCACTATTTTGATTGTGCAGTGGAATTAGATTTTAAATAATTAATTATTTTGTGCATCCTGCACAAATGGTAGCAATTTTTGCAGCCTAAGCCATCTGCAGAGTTCATTAACAGGCATCTAAATCCTTCTAAAGTTACATTATTAACACGTTTTTCTTAGCTTAGCTTCGCGTTTGTTTGTTTGTTTGTTTATTTGTTTGTTTGTTTGTTTGTTTGTTTGTTGTTAACATTGACAACGAATTTGTGGGTGATTTCCCAAAATAATTTCTTAATTATTACCTACATGAGAAATTATTCAAGAGACATGGTAACGGGTAAAATTAACCATGAGCATTAGCATTTTTGTCTCTCTCATGAGTGGCTTCAGCCAAATTTTCCAGTTAGCTGATCATGTTCCTGCCAAAACTCCAGCCTACATATCCACCCTAATGCCTACACCCTAAACATTCAGTTGATTTTGTAGTTGCTGTCATAACAGACTGCATTATAACTATAGCTTCATTGAAAAAAAAATAACACAAAGAACTTATATTATTAAAAGTAAAATGAGAGATTTGGCATTTTATGTGAATGCCAATTGTTAAATGAGTTTGTGGCCTAAAAAATTGCTCATTATGAATAAAAAATGTTCATATCCAAAATGGGCTTTTAGAAACCAATCTCCTGCCCATGTTGTGAAAGGATACAATGGCATCATTGCACAGCCACAGCTACTGCCTGCTGCAGCTGTTGGCCACAGTGTTCATATGTATGGTGAGGATTCATAATCACCAGCATTGTTCATATGTATAGGCAGATTGTGAGGATTCATAATCACACAACTGCATCTAGCAGCAGCTGTTAGTATTGGCAGCAATTGGCATAAAAATACATGTGAATTTTAATACACTTAATTTGACTATAATAGTGTAATAATATTATAATTTTTAATTTTAATATTTGATTATTTCTACGTTTATCTATTCAAGGGTTAACTTCTTTTGTTGCCATTGTATTTAGCAAGCCATTTAAGAATTTTTTATGGAAACTGTTCTCTTGTTAACATTTTTTTAGATCAATTTAATAGATTCACAAATGATCAAGATTTCATTCGAATAAATTTGCAGTGACACAGAAATTAGAATTAAGTTAGTTTTATAATATCTTGGTATTGATTTACACTCTCCAGTAAATTGAGTCACAATCATGAGATATACAGTGGGGGGAAATAAATATTCGTACACTTGAAAAATCGTATTTTAATGTATGTAAGTATACAAACTGAACAGGAGAAGTGATTTATATTATGTATAGAGGCGCATTGTATTCAAAAATAGCATCAATAGAAATTAAATCTCAATGCAACAAAAATTAATGCAACACATTAACTTCTTCGGGTCAAAAAAGTATTCGTACAAAACAACTTTTGACTAATATTTCACACCAGAACATTCCAGAATGTACTAGAAACATGTAGCATGTTCCAGTAATGTAATCAGTAACCATAGTTAACGTATTTTGCAACTACCAGATCATTCTGCAACTGCCCGTAGTACAAAAAGTTCTCAAAAATGGCTAAAGGTAAAGAACTAACAAGTTCCCCAAAACAACTAATTCTATCTCGTTGGAAGGAAGGAGAAAGATATAGGAAGATTGCTAGCCACTTGAATGTTCCTTTTTAACATGTTTTTAACACGTTTTTCTTAGCTTAGCTTCGCGTTTGTTTGTTTGTTTGTTTGTTTATTTGTTTGTTTTTAACACGTTTTTCTTAGCTTAGCTTCGCGTTTGTTTGTTTGTTTGTTTATTTGTTTGTTTGTTGTTAACATTGACAACGATAATTAGCCCACTTCTGATTGTTCTAGAGNNNTCGCCGGACTTAAATCCGATTGAAAATTTGTGGCGGTATTTGAAGATTCAAATTAAGAAAAGGTCCCCAACAAACATTGAGAATCTTAAGGTGGTGTGCCAAGAAGAATGGTATAAAATACCAGTCAGCATCTGCAAATCATTGGTCGAAACGTATAGAAATAGACTGGTATCTGTTGAGCTGAATAAAGGGTATTCAACCAAGTATTAAATTAAAATAATGCGGATTTATTGTTTTGTATGAATACTTTTTTCACCCGAAAAGTGAACATGTTGCATGGTTTTTTTGTTGCATTGAGATTTAATTTCTTTTGATAGTATTTTTGAATACTATGCGTCTCTATACATAATTTAAATCACTTTTCCTGTTAAGTTTGTGTACTTACATACATTAAAATACAATTTTTCAAGTGTACAAATATTTATTTCCCCCCACTGTAAGTTATTTGGCTTATCATCCAAATGTGGCTCATGTTTTAATATTAACTTTTCAGGTCATCCCTTGCTTTTGATATCAACAACAAGAGATGTTCGTGTTGTTGATGCAGAAAAACCAGATGGCCAGCCTCTCAACTCTCCTATTTCAAAGGTTAGTGTAATGATTAATTTGTATCTATATATATATATATGGTATATATATAAATGTATTTGAATTTTTCGTTGAATTTACTGCTCTTAGGTAAATTTTCTTCTTCAAATTCAATGTCATATATGTTTGAATATACTTTTCAATCCCATCTAATTTCTACTCTTAAAAATACTACTGCATGACAAAATTTATACTGTAATGTATATGTACTAATGTAGGTAAATTTACTAGTACATTGCTTATCTATATGATTATATAGGTAATTATTTTCATATAATTAGTGCAATTTACACATGATATCATTCATTTATTTGAAATACTATGACTTTTTGATACCTTTTATTTTCATCATTACCATACCGTATACTGTATGTATTTTTATCCATCGCAATGAAATTTATTGTCCATTAAAACACTTGCATGATGTAATATTAATTTTAGTTCTCTTATAACTTATTTGTAGCTCTCCATATAGTATCCCTGTATTATAGGCCATCTCCCATTCATATATATTAGGCTCTCCAGATTAGTGATGAGCTTAATTTTCTCCATGACTAATGTAAACTATATCCTGAGCAGTTTATTGAGCCTGAGGCCCATGTGTATTTGGACTATCACTTCAACAAGAAACTCATCTGTTGGACTGATGTGCTCCAGCAAACTCTACAGTGTGTTCAGCAAACCACTTCTGAGCCTCTTGTATGTTGCTGCTCATTTATGTACTCGAACTAATCCATTTACTGTTTTCAAACAACTTGGCTTTAATTAAATCACTACTTGAATCATCATATTTTGGGCATAAATCATTTTACTTTTTTGTGCTTTAAAAATAAATGGAAATATTAGAGACTTTTTATTTGTATCAGCTTGTGGTTATTCTCAATCTTTTTTGATTCTGTTTGTGCTAATTAGTTTGGCAATTTCCTAATTTGTGAATAATATTTCTTAATTATTGATCTCTTTGTGTATTATCAGTGACTACCAATGTCTAAATATTACTGCATTTTATATGTACTAATGTTTAGTGGTGGCCATAATCTATGATCTGTTTGATAGGATTTTCTAGTTTTCTATAACTGAAACCCTTGTTAATATTTGCAATGAAATTTCGATATACTCTTGCAGAGAACATTGTTTGTGCAAGAGGTAGCAGGACCTGAAGGTATTGCAGTGGACTGGGTGAGCAATGTAGTATACTGGGCTGACAGTAAGAGGGAGCAAGTGGAAGTTGTTGCACTCCAGCCTCCACACCACCGGCGCATCCTCTACTGGCAGGACTTGGCACACATCAATGCTATTTGTGTAGCTCCACTCAATGGGTGAGATCAAGATTACATGATTAAAAATTTAGTAATTTATAGAAGTTATAATTTCATTATTAAACATTTAGAAAATGTTGGCGAGAATTATTAGTTTCATGAAATGGTTTGAATTGGTGTTCTTACTTCATCTTATAACTCATGGAATAGTGTCATACTCAAGAAATTTGTTGAATGCGTTTTTTTAGAACTTTTCAAGTATTTTGATGCAATATATTTATATTGAAGGAAAAAGCAAAGCATTTAATTATTAAAATTTGATGTATTGTGCAGCTTGCTGTTTTGGAGCATTGGTGAGAAGGCAGCTCGTATTGAAGTCGCCAGCATGTCTGGTAGTGACGAAAATTACAGTGAGAAAGACTCGCTGGTTCGTCGCACTCTCGTGTCACGCAATATTGTATGGCCCAATGGCCTTACTCTTGACACAGAGCAATGCTTGGTCTACTGGGCCGATGCCAGCAAAGATAAACCAGCCATTGAGGCCATTTCCTTTGATGGTCTCAATCGAAGAACAGTGAGAATGATAACAGATACCTAAACCTACATTTACTGTTTTAAAGTTACCAATGGATGACGATGTATGACTCATGAAAAACGTTAAATAAACTTACTGTAATGCATTCAGATTCCTTACATTATTCTCCACAGAAAATGTGAAGCATTAGGACCAAAATTTTTGTACTGTTTTGCAGATCCTTTTCAGAATTTTACTCTGTATACAGGAAGTATTGCTTTATCTCATTTAAATTCATTTGGTGAACTCAATATTCAAGTTTATACCGAGTAGAAGTTCTTACCGAGTTCTATATTCTGTTGATTTTAATAAGTTTTTTAATCGTAGAATGATTTTTTTAGTAATTACATTTGGACCCGTGAATATTTGTAATTCTGTGAACCATGAATGTTTGTAAGTAAGTCTGTTCATTTTTGTTTCAGATTCTGGGTTCAGGCTTGCAACATCCTTTTGCTCTCAGTCTTTACCAAGGAACACTTTTCTGGACCGACTGGGAAACTCAGCTCATTCACTCGTGCTCGATAGGAAGAAAGGTAACCTACTCATATTTTTCTTTTTTTTGTAAAGGCACATTTTTTGTGTATATTTTTAAACTTAAATTTGTTTTTGCTGCTAATGAAAGTGCAGTGTATGTTAATCATTTTTCATCACTGCCAATGATTGTGTTTGAAATTATGCATTCGTTTTGGAATACTGTATTTTTAGCTGCAAAGTTTGTCAATTGCAGCAGTTTTTATTCATGTGTAATGTTATGTTTTTTTCTAAACATAATAGGGTGTCTGCAACCCTTCTCGGACCGTCAGCAAAACAAAGTCTACTAAGTATGTTCGCGTGTATGAAGAGGATCTTCAAAGAATTTATAATTGCAATTCCACATCTTCATCTTGCGCTGGAAAAGAAGAGGAAATTTTTTCTCCTTGCACCGGTGTGCCTTGCTCCCATATGTGCCTTTTAACATCCGTGGGTCTGGTGTCTCATGAGCATCAGTCTCCAAATTCCAACAACATCAGTGTATTAGAAGACGATCCTGGGTCTACAGACCAAAGTGCTCCAATATGTTTAAGTCGTGCTAGGGCGCAGTGCGCATGCCCAACAGGAGTTACCTTGAAGGACGCATTCACCTGCAATGACGGTCCCTCAACTTACCTATTGCTTGCTAGAGCCACTGGCCTCTACACCGTCAGTCTTGACACTGCACAACACTGGGTTTTGCCTCTGGATCCTCTCGGTACCTACAATGCTACAAAAAAAGCAGCCACGAGCATTGACTACGATCCTGCTGAGCAAGAAATTCTTTGGGTGGATAGCGAGGTGAGGAAAAGAACTCATAGAATGATGTAGATCCTGCACTGAGACAAAGGCTGGTATCTTAACTGTCAATTGACGGGCTAATTGTTATCGCGGATGTATTATTCTTCTTGCGTTTTACAATATCACTGTAAGCATTTCGTAGCGAAACAAATGGTCAAAGCATTTTCATTCTGCTTTCTGTTTCTAAAGAAGGGTTATCTTGCCCAATTAACCTCGGAGTAACACGGGTGCTTGGAATTTGGAAACAAAATAAAATATTTTCGTGTTGAGCAGAACGCAGCAGTGAGAGCCACGCGCCGCAATAGCAGCACGGGAGCCCTCACCACGCGCACGGTGATGACCAACGTCTCCAGCTCTCCAGGTTTCGCTCTTGACACCCGCGGTCGCAATTTCTACTGGACTGACGAAAACAGACGCTGCATTTTCGCTGCCTCCATGGACGGCTCGGCACGAATGGTACTTTCAGTTGAATGTCCTGTCAGGAAATATAGAACATTTTTTCTAAGCCACTGATTAAATCAGACGCTGTAAATTAGCTGATTTCATTGATAGGTCTACGCATTTATGTATCTGTTACTTGCCCTGCTTTACTGCGACACATTCTGCCAGTAATTTGCTATTTAGTTCATCGATCTTTTATTGCTTCTTCGGTATTTTCCTCTGTGCGGTAGAAACGTGATCAGTTTCCAGAGGAATTGATTTAAAATCGTTGCAGTTTTCTGATACCTGCATTACTTAGTTAGTGTTTGTTGGCCTCAGTTCCTCAGCTTAGGTTTAATCAGCTTTTATACACCTCACGTGTATGATGAAGGTGAATGATTTCGGTTAATCATGAAAAATTTTTCACTTTGGGTGTATGTTATGAAAATAAATTTCAGTCGAGGGAACATTTGTTTGAAGATGAGCTGAATGTTCAAAATTCTTTGAATAACTCAATTTTTTCAAAGTACTTGTTACTAGTTATGATAGTAAAGTAAACGATACCTTCCACGAAGCCAATCAACAATAATTTATCATACCCAGGCCATTGTGTGGACGTACTTGGAGCGTCCACGGGCCATCATCGTCCACGCATCGCACTCTCTGCTGCTATGGACGGACTGGGGCGACGAGCCTAAGATCGAGCGCTCTGACCTAGACGGCGGCGGCAGGACGGCCATCGTAACCGAGGACATCATCTGGCCCAACGCCTTGGCTGTGGACGACTCGTACCTCTACTGGGCCGATGGAAATACCAACAAGATAGAGGTTAACGCAATTAATTGAAGCAACCGAGTGATCGTGGTTGACTCAGCTATTCGAAAGAAATAAGTGGTGGCGGTAAACTTCAAAAAGTTAAGCCCTAAGTGATTGAGGTTAACTCAATTATTCGAAACTCTTAACGAGCCAAGCTAACTCAATGAAGTTAATGCACCAAGAAATCGAGCACGTTCCATCGAGTAAAATGTGGCATTGAGTTGGTATTGATTGAATTAAACTAGTGACTGGTATTTTGATTGTACAAATCCATCACATTGATCAAATCAAGTTGAATACATGTTTGAAATTTAGTTACCGGAACTCTAAAAATGATGTATCTCATTAAATCTTCCATTTCTGCGCTTGAAAAACAACTCTTTCTGTCCCTTGAAGCAAATATGATCACTGTTGCAGTGCTCCCGCCTGGACGGCAGTATGCGACGTACCGTCCTGGGAGAAGGTGCGCATCGCTTCTCCTCCCTCACTCTGCTGCACGACGTTCTTTATTGGGTTGATTCAAGCCAGAGAAGCGTGGGCAGCGTTAGAGTTGATGGTACGGAACTATCGAGTCTTCCAGCTTATATTTAGTGCTCAGCGTTTCTTTTACTTCTAGGATTTGTGATCCGAAGTTGAAATCAGATGTATGTTTTTGGGACAGCGCATTAAATGTTTAATTCACAAATGTTTAATGCTGTTTTATGAGTCTTTTTAAATTAAATGTTACGAATGTTTTTAGCCTTCTAAGTCTGTTGAAGAGTAGGCGACAATCATCCAGTTTCAGCGAGTAAACTATGATTTGTTCATTCTGATGTGAAGTCAAACGATCATGTAAGATACCTACGTGAGTTTCATTGTTGAATTACTCCTGAGTCATTTACGTCAAACATTGTTAAATTTAAGTTAATGTTACGTGATTTAAATCCATTTCCACTCTGTACGACTAATTATTCAACATGTGATACGTGAATTTTCAAGTGTTATTTAAGTGCGTCAGGCATTATTGGTTTATGTAGGTGGAAGTGTACAAATAAAGGTATTAGTAAGTCAGATCTTGATTCACTCAAAACAGAAATTTTTTTCAGGGAGCAACTCGCATGAGCTGCTGCGTAATGTTGCAGGCATTTTCGATATCAAGGCGGTGCAGCGGGAGCAAGCATTGCCTACCGGTGAAGACCGCTCCACAGCGGGCAGCAGCACCGGTACCAGCACTAGCAGCAGCACCAGCACCGGTACCAGCATCACCAGCAGCAGCAGCACCAGCGCGCCGTGCGCGGACAACAAGGCTGGGTGCTCGCACCTCTGCTTCCACTCCGCTACCGCCCCCGGGGGATACACCTGCCGGTGTCCCTCCAGTGAGTGCTGGGGCTTTTTTACGATTATTTCGAGTGTACCTCGCTAAGAATGATTAAAACTCGCGATTTTTACACCCAAAAACTAGCGCATCTGACACTTCCTTAGTTGACGATAGTTATGTTGGGAATTTCGTTGGACACTGACGTCAACTTCAGTGCGTATTATGCACCTTTTATTCTTATTTCAATTAGTAACTGAAGCTTTAATAGTCTGGTAAACTCGCCAAATCACTGATGTTAAATTCCCTTTGATATTAAATTATTTTTTTTTTAACTTTCCATTTTTCACTTCATCTAGTAATTAATCATAAGCACACATCACATGTACTCAAAACTAATAGAGAAGTTCTCTTAGATTGTCACTGAGCCGAGCTGGCGCTCTTATCAACGGCTCGATAATCACATTTGTTATTAATAATAATTGAATAAATTATGAACTTAAGCTGTAACTGTGGTCAGACTTGGAGCTGAGCAGCGACGGACATACCTGCCTTCCTCGGCCGCCGTCAGGAGGCGCGTTCCTGCTCTACTGTGGCAGCAAAGGCGGAGGCGTCCATCGCCTCAGTCTCAGCGCCCCCTACCGCTCCCAGCCTCTGCCTCTGACGCCTTTCTCCGCCTGCGGGTGAGGCTAGGCCTCTTCACCAATTGTTCATAAACTTGCAGGCGAGATGCCGTCGCGAGTTTTGCGCCTGTGACTAACATGCCCATAATTAGCTGGTTTGGGAGAACAATGTAGAATTTGGTCTGAGAATAACAGATTTTTTTGCAAGCCACCCGAAATTGTTGTGAGTTTCTTAAATTGTGCCATATTTTGTCAGCCTTGCGCGCTTTAATATAATTCTGTCACTGGATCCCTTAAATTTTGTCGGATGTCGTGTTTTTTCTCGGGTTAATTTCGAGATTGAAGTTATGCTTTTTTTTGCCTCACGTCTTTCAGTGAACGATACTTTTTTCCACGCTTTTTATGATAATCAGGAATTACTATTTATGCATTTTTTTACATTTTAAGGAGCTTTTTGTTACGATCTTTCTCATTCTTCATCATGATTACTTGAAATTATTGATTTCGTTTGCTAAACGTCAAGCCATATTAACGGCTCTGCCTTTGCAGTGCTGTGAAGTGCTGCCTTCAGTTGTGCACATCGGATCAACTAAACTCTTATCTTCAACATTACCACGTTTGACTTTTTCAACATATTCATCATTATTTAATCGTCATACTGTGTTCAATAATGTTATTTCTATGTTCAGGAGCGTGGCATACGACCCAGTTTCTGGGACAGTGTACCGCACGGACCCACGAAGCAAGCTCATCAGCAGGGCCAGGCTGGACGGCAGCGACAGCGTCGTCGTCGCCAAGTACGGCCTCATGCTGCCCAAAGCCGTCGCTGTGGACGCCTTAAATAGGAACCTATACTGGATTGACATGTTACTAAATAGGTGAGTTATCAGAGCTTGCACTGTAGCAGTATAGTCAAATTATGCTGTTAATGCTGGCATGTTCAATTGGTTGTTTATTATAAAGATATAAAAGTATAATTAGTTGCGTTAGTTTTAGTATCAATTTATCAATTATTTGATATGGAATCACAGGAAATTGTTATTTCGAATAGTTGTTATAGTTATGTAAATTAATATTCCCTAATTGATAGCTATATTGAATTCGCTATTTGCTTCTCTGCACAAATTTTAATGATTTTACTCACCACTTCGAAATTTAAAAACTTTTAAACTTTTTTCATCCGAAATCAAAGGTGTTTTTTAAGAGGACCCAACTATACATGTTCAAAATATTGTCGAATATTCTGTCATAAAAGTGTCACATAACTGCCACTGGCGGAGGTTCCTTCGACAACTTCCATTATTTGTCTTCATCTAAACGTCAATACTGTCACTTGCATCCTTTTGCTTGGCCCTTTCATGAACTACTCAAATTTTGTTACAAACTTCTTAAACATTGAAAGAAGAAAAAGTACTTATTGTTGATGGAGGAAAAAGAGTTGATGCTCATGTCGTTTATTTTTATTGTAATTACTTGTTATGTGTGCAGGCTGGAAGTGTCTCGCCTGGATGGATCATCGCGACGAGTTCTGCTGTGGCGACATCTGCACAACCCTTCCAGCATCACCATCGACGCCGCCGGCCGCGCGCTCTATTGGTACATTTCGCTACACCAGCTCTCATCGTATCATAACTATTTAATTATGAGGTTTACACCTCATGGATTTTAATATTATTCTCCATTATTTTATTGATAAAAAATACTTGCAGCCTTACAACTATCTAGCGTTCGTTGCCGCAGCCTCACCAGTTTGCAAATTTTACAATTGTGCAATTATAATATGTATACTGTACAATAACACAAATATTAACCGGTCTAATGCCTTTAGTTTTTATTTATACAGGTTAGTCGGGATGCTCACGTGCCTGTGTTCTATTACATTTAAGATTATATAATTGTTTGACCTCTGCCCTGGCGCGTGCAGGTCCGAGCTCGGCAGCTCCTCTGGCGTGATCAAGAGGTCGGGGCTTGACGGGTCAGATGTGCGCGAGATCATCACCGGCCTCGGCAACAACGTTGCCCTCACCGTCAGCAGGTCACCATCGCGCCCCTCATGCTTCTCGCCCTCCTCCTGCCCCTCTCTTCCCGCCTGTCCCTCTATCCTCCCGCCCCTCCCCTCTCTCTCTCCTGCTCCTTCCACTCCCCTGTTCCCTCTCGCTCATGGACTACCTTGTTTGACCCCATCACCACTGCAGCCCGCAAAGTGACACATTTTCCCATATTTGCTGCTTCTTTCAATAGATCTTCATATTATTACTCTGCTTGGCGTGTTATTCCCAGCTTATGTCCACCAGAATTATCCAGGCGAATTATTAGTACCCCAGGCGTCACCCAAACTACACAAGGCACAGAGCAAGTAATGAGACCATGACCCGGAAATTTGAAACTATTTAAAATTATTCAAAACTAAATCTAAGTTTTGTTTAAAATAAGCCAAAAAGGGTAATTACACAGACACTATGTAAAAATGACTTTTTACGTAAGAGTCTTCCTGTACCTAAATAAATTGACTGTACTATAGTTGTACTTTCCGTTCTGAATCCATCTTTTGCATTAGAAGATTAAAATTTTTTAATTTCCGTACAGAGCGAGAGAACCACCATCGCAGTTGGACGTCACTCGCCTCTACTGGAGTGACGCCGAACGCGGCAAAATAGAGACGAGCCTCACTGACGGCAGTGACAGAAGGGTGCGTATAATACTCATTAGTCTACCTAGCTTTTCAAAGCTTACTTTTAAATGTAAAACTATTTAGTGATAACGTTAAGTTTCCCTCATACCACTATTGAGATTATAAAATCCCAGTCTTTAAAATGAAGAGGTGATGACGAAAATTGATGTTCGTCAGTGCAGAATGCCGTATTAGAAGTTTCGTCACCCGCGGCACAAGCAAATATTCTGCCGAGACAAAGAGCTCACAATTAATGAGGGGATTGTAACTGGATTGTCAAATGGTTGCGGATTGTTGATCACTTGCATCGTACAGTTGATGATTTGGCGGCGTGCAGACACTGTGTACTTTAAAATTGAGGTTTGTAATAAACATTTGTGTTGCGTGTGCAGGTTCTGGTATCGGGAGTGTATAATAAACATTTGTGTTGCGTGTGCAGGTTCTGGTATCGGGAGTGTATAATAAACATTTGTGTTGCATGTACAGGTTCTGGTGTCGGATGTGTCGGGGTGTACAGGAGTGGGCGTGTGGGGCGGGCGCGTGTACTGGGCACAGCGCGCCTCGCACGCCTACACGCTGCTCGCCGCCAGCGCCGCTACGGGCCAGCAGCGTCAAGTTGTTATGGTGATTATTAACGGCTTTGTTTACATATAGCAGTTAATTATTCAGATCATCAACCTCATACTAGTTTTTCTCATGGAATTATCAAGATTGAAATTGATAAGGAGACATGAATACCAGTTTGATAATCTAACCTTGTGCTTCTTAGATTTCATGTTTAAAGGAATGTTGAGATCATATTTTCAAAATGAGAAGCCAATGCGTGTAATTACATTGAATTTACAATTGAGGTCGCAGAAATAATTTTTCGCTGTATCATCATGATATTCTATTCCAAAATTTATAAATTACTATATTAATTTTCTCGTGATTACGTACATTCCTGGAACGATTTCACATAAAATGTTTTTTTTTCGTCTATGTTTTGCTTGCTAATTTATCGAGTTTGTGTTTTGAATGCCCAGTGAACACGGCGTTTTCTTTACTTTGTGCTTACGCAAGTTCATTCATTCATTGTTTAGTTTATAGTACAGTTACAGTTTACATAATTACAGTATTCATTGTTTGAGAAAATTATAATATAAGAGCGTAACATTTCGATCACCTAGAGTGGCCTGAACGTCACGGATCTGGTATTTTCAATTGCCGAACCGTACGACGTGATTGCGGCGGCCGTTCAAAACACGCCTGTAAGTTCCTGCCTGCCTGACACTGGCGTCAACTGCTCCCACCTTTGCCTGCCGCCGCCGCTGGTTCCTTACAAACGACCGCGACGCAACGATCGTCATTCTTTCATACAAGATGACAATGATAAGACAATGCAGTCGTCGAGCTTATCAGAGAAAAGTCTGCGGTTCTCTGAAGATATGAGGAATGGAAGATATGAATTGTCGTCCGATAATGTCAGTAGTTCTTCAGACAATCTGATCTGGCCGACTATACCTCGAGTTTCAAAGCTGAAGCGAAGCATACCGGCCTCCCTGCAGTCTCGGTCCATGACGGCTTTCGAAATTCCCGAGATGAAAGACCCAGCGCCTAGTCCTTGTTTCTGCCCTACGCATTACACGTTTGATGCTAACCGCAACTCTTGTCTGCGTGAGTAGCGGCTCAAAATTCGAAATTAATTTATTTATTCTTATGAATAAAGAAAAATATTATTATAATTCCAAGTTTTGGACTTCTTTTAAAATGTACGCTGCATTGCAATCAAAGCTAATTTTTTAAACCTTGTCGCACTGCATATGTATAAATATGTACTTATTACCTGCACTAGGTACCATTGTAACGCTGCTAAGTTATGCAGTTAGACGACGCTTTGAACGGTTAATTCTGCTATTTTATGACTTCAACTCATGCTCTTGTTGCAGCCCCGACCTCGTTCTTGATATTCGGCCAGAGCGGCAGCATCAGCAGGTTGCTGGACGTGCCTCCTTCTCAGTCGGACGTCTCAGTGCCGACGTCTCAGTCGGACGAGTGTCCTACGGTGCAGTTAGCACTGCGCGGGGTAAACATCTCAACATTTTTGCTCACTAAATCTTTTGGTTTCTATTATGCTTCTAAAATGTGACTTGGTGCCGTCGATTGGTAGGTCCTTGAAAGAAACTTTCAGCCATTATTTTGAGACAATAAATCTCACAGTTATCATTACCTTTTAATAACAAAGTGGAGCAATCCAAAATTTTGGTTTCATTATGTCTCATGAGTATTGAGGAAGAAATTATTATCTTGCCAAGACCTATTTTCACTAAGACGTTCCTTGCTCACCCTGTCTTAGGTGCGCAGCGTTGGTGCAGTGGCTTACGACTCGACCACCGATACCGTCTACTGGCTTGATTCCAGGAATAAGAAGATTTTGGCTTCTCAGGAGTACGTCAACAAGAAACAAGTGCGTGGAGTTTACAGTTAAAGTCTCTATGCGTCTCGTCTTTGCTGTTATTAGTGAATTAAAAATTTGTTGATATTTTACGGCAAGCGCACAATGTCTAAACATCAAGACCATAAAATTTAAAATTAATGAAAATTTTTCTATTAACTTGAAATGTAAGTTAGTGGTTATAAATGCTCTCTGAATAATACGGATCATGTCAAGTGACAGTCGACATTATAATGTTAACTTTAACTTAATACACAACATTCATTTGACCAGTGATTCATTTGACATTTTTAACGACCAATATTGCAACCATTCTTGAAATTCTCTTGTTTCTGTACAGGTTGTAGTTGACAACCCTGGTGCTACCGCTCACCCATACTCCATATCGCTTGACCACGTCACCGGTCTGCTCTTCTATTCCTGCGCCAAGCAGGACGTTATCAACGTCACGCGCCAGAGCATTACCAAAGACAGACATTTCCTGTATTCGGTAACAAATTTCATATTACAAATTGCTAAATTCGTACAATTTTTAGTAACGAAACAATTGTGAAACAGTTAGAAGTTCTCAACAGTTTCTGGATTGAATGCTTTGATGAATTTCTGAATTAGTATATAGATGAAATTTTAAACGAATCTTCGTGATAAGTTAAACTTGTTCGTTATGATCAGTTTGTACAAACTTATCGTGGACTTGTCTGATAAATTTGCGTCAATTTATGATGCACCCTTTAAAGTTGAAATTTGCGAAAAAACGTCGATCATATGCTAAAGGAAGTTGTAATACTTGGTTCTGCTAGAGCTAGATCGTGTATAAGCCAAGCAATGATGAAGCCTAACCATCCACCTTTGATTGTGTAGGTCCTTGGTACAGTGGTGGGACTTGCAGACGACAAGCCACGTTCTATTGCGGTGCACTCATCCCTCCGTCGTCTGTTCTTCGTGAACATGGCTCGATCAGCCCACATAGAGACGTGTCGACTGGACGGATCATTGCGCTCAATAATCGTCACGGACGGACTCAATGAACCTACTGCCCTTGCGGTTGACGAGTCGCTTCCTGTTCGAGGTAGCCCACTGCCCAGACTCTTCTGGTACGATGTCAGGCCAAACAGGGTGGAGAGCGTCGAAATGGATGGCAGCAATAGGTGCGTGCATAGTTACAGTAATTCCCACACTCTATTCATCTCTGACTTGAGTAGTGAGACAGAACAACTTTGCACATTGATATATGTAACCAATTTGTTTCACCATACTTGTACTCTGTGCATTTTCAATGCATTACAAAGCATTCACGCTTGCACAGACGCGTCTTGGTATCTGGCGACCTTGAGCGCGTGGTTGCGATCTCAGTTCTCGGTGAATGGCTGTACTGGGTGGACGAAGGAGCTAACGCCATCCGCAGGGGCTTGAAGACGCGTCCCAACGCCACTGCCAACACAGTGTTGGGCAGACTCAGTCAGCTCGTGGACATAACCTCAATAGACACCCATCAGGTGAACCATTGAGTTATTCAGCATCTTCCTCGGTGCTCCTATTTTGTCAGGCACGACGATAGCTGATATGATGTTCTCTAGGTGTAAATTGTTAGTATAAATCGGTGATACTCTGTACTGGATGAAACCTAGCATTCTGTAAAGTTAAGAGAGCAATGTCAGCATTATATTAACTCAAAATAAAATTGTTTGTATTATAAAGGAAACTAATACTCTGTGAGGCTTTCAGACGTCACGGCATCACCCGTGCTTGAGCAACAGCGGCAACCAGTGTAGTCAGCTGTGCCTGATGGCGAGCGAGGATGACAGGGCAGGAGGAGTCTCTGATGACCGCTTTCGCTCAAATTTCGACAGTTCGGCCTCAACTTCTTGGCGACCGCCTGTGGATACACAACAACCCATGCGCCGGTTTTCAAGTCGGGATGCTCAAATTGATCCATCTTCACACACGGCTGATGCACGAGTTTCGGATCAGCAACAAGCGCTCCGTGGAGCAAGCAAATCGCGGCTACTGTTGCAGCACTCAGACGATGTTTACGATCCGTACGCTGCTGCCTCTACTGGCACACTTGGAGAAGACCTAACCAAACGAATACCTTACGATTCTTTAAAAAATAATCTCGATATCACATCTGGCAGAATGCATTATGCTGGAAGCCTAAATGGTATGAGCCAGCCAGGCGGTTATACTCCAAGCCTTTCGTTGGTCCCAGGTCATTCAGCTCACAGCTCATCACGAGTCCCTCTGGGCTCGTGTGGCTGTGTGCACGGCGAGGCCGTTGACGACAGTGGTTGGCACTGCCAGCCTTGTAGCCGCGAACATTTCCCCTGCACTAACTTGAATCTTACTTGTGTGCCACTTCGTTACAGGTAAGTCGATGTTGGTCTATTGCGGTCAACTTACAGCTGCTGCTAACAGATTCTTTGCCACTGTTTATCATCTCCTAGGACCTAGGTAAATGATCTGAAAAGTATTTCGCTGCTGAACCTGAGAAGTTAGTGCCGCTTTTATTTTTAAAGTAATTTATTTACGATTTCTTTACATGATAATTTTCTAAATAAAACATTTTGTTGAACATTTCAAAATTCCAGCTGCGTAATTCGTGTTGAACAAGATACACTATAATTTATCGTTGAATGCATCTGAAGATGAATGTAAAAAAGGGTTACATCTGTATAGGTATGCTTTTTTCTCCTACTCTTGCTTTGACTTATTAACATTCTAGTTAAACATTTTTTTAGGTGTGACAACGCATCTCATTGCGAAAACGGATGGGATGAGTTACAGTGCAGCTCGTGTTTAGGTGAGTCCCTCGCTGGCTGTGGTACCACCTCTCTTATGCATTTCTTGTACTCATTTCAATGTTTGATATTTGCTTGGTCTCACTGGGTTAGCTTTTGTTGAGCAAGTGAAATAATCTCGTAGCGCGTTGCAAACAAGTTGGTAAATAGTAAGTGTTGCAAACGGCTCAAACTATTGTTCGAAGGATATAATAAAACTGTTGTGAAATAAGAGATCAAGTTTAGCAAACAAGCGGTCGTGACATCCTTCAGGTCTCGGGTGCGCCTCTCCTCCGCAGTTCACCGATCGGTTCACGCCCCCGGGGACGACTAATAAGACGGCACCGATCGTGTGGGTCATCGTGTGCATTGTCGTCCTCCTCTGCCTGGCCGCGTTCTTCGTTTATTATAGGTACATCTCTCTTTCTGAGGCTGTCATAAATGCAAGATTTCTTCAGTCATTTTATTTACTTTGATGCTCTAGACTTGTGACTTGGAGCTTTCGAAAGAAGAGACAGGAGGTCTTGACGGAGACTTCTACTAAATGCTTATTAAACTTGGTATTTTTTACTTTTGTTTCTTGTTGGGAATTGTTCATTTATTTTTATGATGCGACTGCATAGAATGTGCAACAATTGTTTTTATCACTACAGAAGCGTTTGTTGTTTATAGTGCTTGCAATTTCTTTGAGGCTGTCTAGACAGCAATAAGTATGACACGGAAGCATTTAGATGTCAGTCTTTCTATGTCAGTTATTCGTGTTTGTTACAGACGTCGGCCGCCTATAGAAGACGCGCTAATGTTGGCGTCTGCATCCGGCAATTTGAAAGGACAGCCACAAATACAGCTGGGGAGCAACCAGGGCAGGAAGGGTTCTCGTTATCTGACGGGGTGCGTGGGCAGCTGTGGCTTGGGCAGCAGCAGCAGCTGTCAGCAGCGTCTATTGCCCGACAGCAGCAGCGGGTGCCTGAATAGCAGTTGTGGCAGCGCTGCGTGTGCTGCACATCTCAACGGTGGAGCCTGCCGAGGTGCGCAGCCTCTTGGAGCGTGCGAGATGTTCTCCCTCACGCCTGCTGTTGGGGGATCTCACTTCTCATCATCGTCGTCTTCCACGTCGCACTACCCCAAAGAGACGCTCAACCCCCCACCCACCCCCACGACACGCACGCCCGCGGTGCCTTACTGTCACGGCAGTTGCTACCATCCCTTGCAGCAGAGCTCGTCCTCGAACTTGTCGTCCATGGGGCATCGCGGTGGTCATCCCGTCGTGCTACCACTGGCCGCTGAACATTCATATCGACACTACAAGACCAGAAACCGACCACCGCCACCCACCCCTTGCTCCACTGACGTGTGTGACGATTCTGATCTCAATTCCACGACCATCTTTACTTCCACCCCATGTTACTCGTCCGACACCAACACCAATGACCAGCACCGCAGCCATCACTACCACACGCACCACCACCACCATCCCAACTCCCCCAACACTCAGTATTGCTCCTTCTCATCCTTGCCTCACACTGAGTATTACTGGGACTCTGAACCTGATCCCCCACCACCAACCCCGCTAGCAACCAGCGACCGAGGCAGTCCTGCTACCAGACTCTTGGATCCTTCCGAGCCTCTCCGTAGACCTGCAATCCAGCCCGACACTGAGCTCCTATTACTAGGGCCTCTGTCTGCCGTCCGTACTGACAGACGTTACTGTCCACCACCACCGTCTCCTGTTGCTTCTGACTGACGCCGCCTTGCTTCCAGTCCTGACATCTCTCGTCTCTTTTTAATTCAGTTTCATCACGGTACAAATTGATAAATATTGTTATTTCTTGCCAATCATGAGGTTATGAAGAATTTTGCTGGTTTGAGCTATGCTTGCAAATAGTCATTTTAAGAGCCACATATGGTTTTTGCTCTGATAACTGCACAAATTTACCAAATAATTGATCTAATCATTATGATAAAAAACTCTAATGTTTCAAGACATATTTTGTCCCCTTCGGGCTGCTTACTGCATATTATTTCATTAATTTATTTTAATTGCTAAATTCAATTTATAACTCTCTCGAGCGCTGGACACCAACAATAAGCGATACAATAACTACACTGGCCTGTCGTTCTCCTGGTCACGTGTAGTACTGTTGAACATTTCTCGTGATGATGGAAAGTACGATCTTGCCTTTAAAACGTGCTCAGTTTTTTAGTCAAAGTAATTCTACAATGAAACTAATATTTTTGTGAAATTTCTTGATTATTTAACACTCTTAATAGGCTACATGTCACAAATTGCTTGCTTGCCATGCATTTCATGTGCTAGTGGATGAACGATGTGCTCTTTCTCATCGAGTCTTCATAGTGCGGGAGCTGAACGAAGCAAGCAGAATTGAAATGCATTTTATTATTATTAAACGGGGGCATTGTTGGTGTTTAGTGTAAGTTTTTTGGGCCTCGTGGTCCTTTGATCTCACAGCAAGAAACGAACGAAAACTTGAGCTATCATTGTAATATTTTTCATGTTTTAACCCTGTTAACCCTCGACTATATGATTGTTCTCATGTTGTTCGCAACGATTTATTCTCTTCACTCGTGCACAATTCTGCTGTAACTAGAAGTCTTTTTCAGTTTAGAGTGGTTACGTTCACAAACTTGTTAGCAGGTGTGGTCGGTTGAAAGGTAGTCCTCATTGGTATTGTTCTCTGCTAGGATCTGATGTACAATTCTCGACATAACAAGTGTACAAGTCAATGATGTCATGGTGTGGTTTTGGGCGTATACAGACCCGATGGCTGAGGGCACCTAGTGATCATAGGAGCCTCACATATTGCAAAGAAGGAAAAATCGTCACTTTCGGCAGCTATTACAGGTTTTTTTTCCGGTGATCTTAAAATAAAGGATTTCACGACCTACACTAGAAAACCATAGTTTATTCTAGAACAAACACGTCAGAGCCCTCCAAGGGAGAATGGTCTCAATTTCCGCACTTTAATTGTCGTCTCGAGTTTTGCTCATCAAATTTCCTTCTCGTGCGTTTAACTTCAGAAATTGTGTGACTTGACTGATTTTCAAAGATTAACAGACGAAGATTGGCATCTTCTTCCGTCTCTTTGATTGCGCCTTGACATAGAATGACTTCAGCTGACGATTGATTTGATCTCTTGCCACATGGCAGTGCTTGTATTAAAACGAATACTGTTGCACGTCAAACCCTGACTATTCTTTGATAATCATGTCATTGCCTCAATAAAAATATCCTGATTAAGCCGAAACGCTATAAGTGAATATCTTAGCAGAATGTCACATTAAACTATTGCTATAGACTATTGGCTAGAATTTTTATTTAGTATCTTTTTTCGCGATGTTCTTCAAAATTTAGACGCAGAAGTTGCGTATTTAGCCTAAATAGAGTAATTATTTTAATGATCGTGCCTTCTAGAGCCGTGCCATTTTCAATTATTCAGGTATACCATTCGCTACCTCATTTTCCGACTATTAGATAATTTGAGTAATAATAATTTAGTTCAATCTGTCCAAAGTTAACCCTGTGTCTTCTGATGGTAGATTGTTTAACCCTCCTGTAGTCTTCGGGTCAAAATGATTCGCATTTCCAACCCTATGTCAAGAAGGCATAGAGCGTATACTGGAAATGAAGACAACGGAAGGGTTAACGAGCTTTTTCATCTATCCGTAGACAAAAGGTTTAATAAGGGAGAATTATGTTTATTTCTATAATGTTTATAGTATTTCTATCTCTCAAAATATGTTCGCTACATTTAATAATACCAAAGGCTCCATCTGTATAAATATAGTACATATTTATTGTCAACTCAAATTTTCCAATCCTTCTCAACGATTTGATAAATGTATAACTGGACTATAATCAAGTATCACTGATGACAATAATGATCTTAGAGTTAACGAAGTTGAGGATCAAGCAGCACACTCAGATACAAAGCGGAGCGAATTTATATTTAAATATTTGTACAGTGAAGTCAACCTGCCAGTAGCTTAGACATCCGTTCAATACGTCTTGGACGTTCCAAGGTAGGAATCGAAATAGAGTCTTTGGGAGGCGGAACTGTCGCCCGGTCGAGGGGAAGATCTACGTAAAGGTGAGGCTGTCTGGTGGTGCCAAGACCATCCACCTCAGCAAACGGCACCGTGGGCTGCCCTCCATCCTCCGCGACCCGTACGTAGAAGTTGTTAGGTAAATCTGACGGTACTTCGAGTGGGTAGCGATCGGCAGTAATGTCGTGCTGTTGCTTCAAGAACATCTGCACAAACAGGGTATGAAATCTCAACTGGATCCTAATGAGTACCTGGGGTAACAGATCAGATGCAGGCTATACGAGTAGAATTCTAGGCATTTTATTTTCATGACCGACAGTTGCAAGTGATCATTAATACCGATGATTTCAAGTAATTGGCGGCGATAGATCATAAATGAGAAGTTGTGATCATCACTAGGATGAATATCACAATTAAGGATGATGCCTGAAAACATGAACATGGCGCGAACGAATGAATCGTGACTCATATTGAGATTTTATTGACTGATCGAACATGTACAGAGGTGGGCAGTAGCGAGCTACATGTAGCGGCCGCTACATTATCAGTAGCGGTAGCGGCGCTACATTCAAGCCATGGTATAGCGGTAGCGCGCGCTACATATTTAAGTAGCGATACGATGTTTTGCCGCTACAGCGCTACCGCTACATTTATAGATAAAGCCTTTAGATTTTACTTAATAGTATTAAATATTATTTAAAAACCAGCATGATACATACATAATATAAATTAAAGAATAAAACTGTACGAAAGATTTCGGTGCAATGTCGTCAACCTCAGCCTGTTACTAGTGTCAACATGATAGTTGTTACCAGAGGTGGGCAGTAGCGCCCTACATGTAGCGGACGTTACATTTTCGGTAGCGGTAGCGGCGCTACATTTAAGCAATTGTAGCGGTAGCGCCCGCTACATTTAGTGCATGTAGCGGTAGCGGTAGCGGCCGCTACAGTTCAAAGTAGCGCTGCCCAGCTCTGAACATGTATGCAAAACAATAATGATTTGGGGAACAACACACAAGGTGTTGTTCCCCAACAATATGGCGGACCCGGTACAGGGTCCGCCATATTTATGGCAACGGATGTTTGCTGTATAAAAATAAATTGGTTTCTAGGAGACTTTTCTTTTATAATGAAGCTTAATATCATCTATTAATTCATCTATTTTATATTGCAGTCTAAGGTGTCTAAATTTACAATTACCTATGATTTACTATTACCTATTTGCTATTAGCAGTAGATGGAAATGCAATTGTAACCCTTCATGAAAAGGGCGAGAGTAGTAATTCAGTCATTACAAAAAAGCTCCAAATTCGTCTTGAAACTGTGTGGAAAAAAAATTCAAGGAAACTGGTGAAACATGCAATCGACCTGGTCAAGGAAGGAAACGAAGTGTCCGAACAAAACAGTTGGTCAAAATCACGATTGAGAAGTTAAGGAGAAACCCTCGTCGCTCAGCTGCAAAATTGGCTGCAGAAGCAGGAGTTAGTCAGACATCAATGCGTATAGAGTCCTCAAAGATGACCTCAAAACCTCCCCTTACAAGATGCAAACAAGTCATGAACTAACAGACCGTCGTGAGCGCATGAGGCTCGAAAGATGCCAGCACATTCTGGATCTCATTGAGGATGGCACGCTGCCCAACTTGGTGTTCAGTGACGAGAAAAAATTGGACATTGAACAAAGCGATGACCGTCAAAATGACAGAGTTTGGAGTCGGGATGGATCTGTGGCAACTAGAACAACAACACGACGTCAAAATCCCATGTCCGTGATGGTTTGGGCCGCGGTAACCGCCACTGGGAGGTCCCCACTCGTTTTTGTCCCCTCAGGAGTGAAATTGAACAGTCAGCGATACATTTCGGACATTTTGGAAGCTGTGTTGTTACCTTGGGCCCGTAAACACTTCAACGGCTCACCATGGAGTTTTCAACAAGACTCTGCCCCATCACGTGGCTCAAACAGTACCCAAAACTGGATTCAGGGTCAAATCCCAGCGTTCATCAGCAAAAATGAATGGCCCCTAAGAAGCTCTGATTTGAGTCCTCTCGACTTTTCTGTGTGGGCTATTTTAGAGAGTAGGGTCTGCAGAACACTTCACGATTCTTTGGATAGTTTGAAGTCCAAATTGACACGAAAATGAGACTTGATCCCTCAAGAAATGCTGCGGGTCTCCTGTGAAGCTTACCCGCGTAGATTGGAGGCCGTCATTAGAAAATAAGGGTGGTCATATTGAATAAATATGTCTGAGAAGTGTTTAGGTAATTCTTGGCTACTAGCTCATCCAATAAAAAAAACAATGCACCTGTTTGTTTCATTGAGAAATAATAAAAAACATGCGTTGCTATAAATATGGCGGACCCTGTATTTCCACGGAAAATAATGAACGATCTATAGTAGAAAACAGCCAATATAATACCGCCTATATTATGAATAGATATATGACATAAATAATTGGTAACACATTGTCTTTAATATTTTCTTTCCCCTTCTTCTAAATGTTCAGTATATCGACTGTGTCTGAGATTAGAATGAAGGAGTTCTGAGGATATTATTCTATACCTCCAGGGCATGAAAACATAACAAGGGCAATAATCAGAAAGAATATTTCCATCCTTTTGCCTAAAAACACCCATTCTCTCTTTTCTTTCGCCATACACTACACCCGGCAGTGAATATCTTACATATCCTTCGCTCTGACTGGAATCTTCTCGATCCTTTAACTACATTCCATGATCAAGTACACTATTTTTTCACGCTCGCAGCCAGCAATCAACATTGTAGCATCTAATCTCACTTCGTTCATGACGTACATATCCACTCATAACTCATTCCTCATTCATGCAGAACATGCTGTTGCACCTCTCCCGCAACATAGCTATCATCCCGCAACATAGCTATCCATAGCTATCATCCGCCTACTTTGACTGCTCTCTTTCTACAATGCACATAGTTTAGGACTTTAAGTTGTCTGTACTTCCGTCTTCATGCGTGACAAGCGTCCTGATTATTTCCACCATTTAAAAGTCCTCTTCACCTTTTTTAATTATTAGCTTATATTATTATTAATTATTATCAGCTTATATTATTTCACGCTCATATTCGTCATTGTATTTACTCGTCAATACCTCACTTCATGGTAGTGTCACTTAGCTCGGTCGTCGTTGATCTAAAGAGGCTCCTCAGTGTGGGAGTCATAATGGAGATAACACGTCTCTGTCTGATTTGTCTATGACTGGTAGAATTGTTTGGGGCTTGGGATCCAAAATGCACATCGGTAAATTCCTCTTTAATAGCGGTTGCATTATTGATGCAGGCTAAACGGCGAAACGTACTATTTGAAAGTACCGGGAAACCGGCAGTGCGAACATTGTTTGGTCATAACGACCTTACAAAAGACAAGCAGCATCTCAGTACTACGACAGTTTTCAGCTTCTATGAAGGACTGGCGAAGCGATGTCTGAAGTGAACGGAAGCCACGTTCCTATTTGAGAACTTGACAAAGCTACAATTGAGAATGCAAAAATGCCACAATTGATAATGCGAAAATGCTAAAATTGAGAACGCAAAAATGCTACAATTGAGAACGTGAAAATGCTACAATTGAGAAAGCAAAAATGCTACAATTGAGAATGCGAGAATGCTACAATTGAGAATGCAAAAATGCTACAATTGAGAACGCGAAAATGCTACAATTGAGAACGCGAAAATGCTACAATTGAGAACCTGACAATGCTAAGATTGAGAACATGTTGAAAAAAAAAGTTATTCAATGTTAAGACTTCAAAGTCATTTCACAGCATCTTACAATCAAATTATTCTTGATAGCATCATGCATTACCCATCATTAATTATAGATTGTCTTTAGTTTGGAGTTAAAATCTAGCCTCACCTTGAACACTGGAGGGAAAGCAGCAGTAGAAGGCAGTAAGATGGGGTCAGGTTTCTTGCAGGTCTTGAGATCCTCCATGAGTTTTTCTTCGTCCATTTTCATAACTAATGAATAATTATTAAGATTGGCAATCGATGTGATGTCCTCGACGCCACAATAGTGTCCCCTATACCACCTTTCACCCAGAACCTTTCCTCTCACTTCCCGGTACTGTGGAGAGGTGTGAGAGTGAGCAGAACAAGGGTCGGGGTCATGGCGAGCAGAACAAACGTCAGGGTCATGGTGAGCAGAAGAAACGTCAGGGTCATGGTGAGCAGAACAAAAGTCGGGGTCATGGTGAGCAGAAGAACTGTAGGGGTCATGGTGAGCAGAAGAAACGTCGGGGTCATGGTGAGCAGAAGAAACGTCGGGGTCATGGTGAGCAGAACAAACATCGGGGTCATGGTGAGCAGAACAAACGTCTGGGTCTTGGTGAGCAGAACAAACGTCAGGGTCATGTTGAGCAGAACAAACGTCGCGGTCATGGTGAGCAGAACAAACTTCGGGGTCTTGGTGAGCAAAACAAACGTCCGGGTCATGGTGAGCAGAACAAACGTCAGGGTCATAGTGAGCAGAACAAACGTCAGGGTCATGGTGAGCAGAACAAACGTCCAGGTATTGGTGAGCAGAACAAACGTCAGGGTCATGGTGAGCAGAAGAAACGTCGGGGTCATGGTGAGCAGAAGAAACGTCGGGGTCATGGTGAGAAGAACAAGGGTCAGGGTCATGGTGAGCAGAACAAACGTCAGGTCATGGTGAGCAGAAAAAATGTTAGGGTCATGGTGAGTAGAACAAATGTCGGGGGCATGGTGAGCAGAACAAACGTCGAGGTCTTGGTGAGTAAAACAAATGTCTTGGTCATGGTGAGCAGAACAAACGTCAGGNTATATATAGTCAAATGGGGTAAGACAGGATCGCAGCCTTCATGGGGTAAGAAAGGACCAGCCCATGGTGTGTATTCTAATTGCACTGAATTTAATTTGACAAAAGAATATGTTAGAGCAATCATTGCCTGTCATTTCAGTGCTTGTTTCAACCCTCTTCTGCAAAAAATGAATTTCTGGCTAATTTTCAAAGAAAACCTATGTAAAGAAGGGTCACAAAATAGTTAACCCTGTTCAGGAAATAAGCCTGTCTCTTATACACATCTAGATGTGTATAAGAGACAGGAACAAATGTCAGGGTCTTGCTGAGCAAAACAAATGTCCGGGTAATGGTGAGCAGAACAAATGTCAGGGTCATGGTGAGCAGTACAAACGTCAGGGTCATGGTGAGCAGAACAAACGTCAGGGTCATGATGAGCAGAACAAACGTTGGGGTCATGGTGAGCAGTACAAACGTCAGGGTCATGGTGAGCAGTACAAACGTCAGGGTCATGGTGAGTAAAACAAATGTCGGGGACATGGTGTGAACAAGGGTCAGGGTCATGGTGAGCAGAACAAACATCAGGTCATGGTGGGCAGAACAAACATCGGGGTCATGGTGAGTAGAACAAACTTCGGGGTCATGGTGACAACAAACTTCAGGGTCATGGTGAGCAGAACAAACATCGGGGACATGGTGAGAAGAAAAAGGGTCAGGGTCATGGTGAGCAGAACAAATGTTGGGGTCATGGTGAGTAGAACAAACATCTTGGTCATGGTGAGCAGAACAAATGTCGGGGTCATGGTGAGCAGAACAAACATCGGGGTCATGGTGAGCAGTACAAATGTCGGGCGGGGTCTTGGTGAGCAGAACAAACATCTTGGTCATGGTGAGCAGAACAAACGTCGAGGTCATGGTGAGCAGTACAAACGTCAGGGTCATGGTGAGCAGTACAAACGTCAGGGTCATGGTGAGCAGAACAAATGTCTTGGTCATGGTGAGCAGAACAAATGTCAGGGTCATGGTGAGCAGAACAAACGTCGGGGTCATGGTCAGCAGAACAAACATTGGTGTCATGATGAGCAGAACAAACGTTGGAGTCATGGTGAGCAGAACAAACGTTAGGATCATGGTGAGCAGAACAAACATCAGGGTCATGGTGAGTAGAACAAACATTGGGGTCATGATGAGCAGAACAAACGTCGGGGTCATGGTGAGCAGAACAAATGTCGGGGTCATGGTGAGCCAAACAAACGTCTGGATCATGGTGAGGAGAACAAATGTTGGGGTCATGGTGAGCAGAAAAAATGTTGGGGTCATGGTGAGCAGAACAAATGTTGGGGTCATGGTGAGCAGAACAAATGTCAAGCGGGGTCTTGGTGAGTAGAACAAACATCTTGGTCATGATGAGCAGAACAAACATCGGGGTCATGGTGAGCAGTACAAACGTCAGGGTCATGGTGAGCAGTACAAACGTCAGGGTCATGGTGAGCAGAACAAATGTCTTGGTCATGGTGAGCATCAAACGTCAGGGTCATGGTGAGCAGAACAAACGTCAGGGTCATGGTGAGCAGAACAAACGTCAGGGTCATGGTGAGCAGAACAAACGTCAGGGTCCTAGTGGTGCATCAATGCCTGCTTATGTGCACCTTTAATTTTGTTACATTAAAGGTCCATTAATTAATCCTTAGTTTAAAGTAAATGTTTCAAGATTCATGTTTTCCCTATATTTGGTCAGCACAATAAACTTGTATAACAAGGCAAGAACCTAACATTCAAAGTCAGCTAATAATATACTTCATGAACATTTGATTCATAAAAACATGTATGTGACTGCAAAGTTAACAGGTGTATGTAGATAAGCATACCTACTTCTATACAGTAGATAAAAAATTGTAGATATTTGTTACTTTTAGGTTTTATCTACATTTGTAGATAATTGTAGATAAAAATTCCCACAAAATAAAAATTTTTATAGTACACTCTTATTTCTATTGCTACACATTAAATGAAAACAATGAAATATTTCATTTCAATTTATCAATATCTTTGAGGAGTCAGCAAATATAGTTCATGGACAGACCATCTGAATAAAATTTTATAATTATCCACAATGAGTGTCAATATACAAACCTCATCCATGTTTGCATCCACTTCCATGAGCTTAATGAGGCTCGGCTCAGAGAATACTTTCAGGTGATTTTGTTGAACAATTCTGCCCACACCAAGTCTGGGAAGCCTCAAGATTATGTCCCATAACCTGCAGATCAGCAAAAACTCAATATACCGTATATAGAGCAAGGCAGAATGAGTTTAACATAATATTCAAGAGCCAAGCCCAAAATTAAGATTTTAACAAAATTAATATCTAAAATCAGAATGTTTTAATCAGAATGTTTTAATAAATGAGCTACAGAAAATGAGGAAGACAGTGAAAAACGAGTGATTTATAATTTTTTTACCTCATTTTACAAATTGCAATAATATTTCATTTAATATAACACACAAAAAGTAATTTCTTTCAAAGGCCTGAATTAAAATATCTCTAAAATGCAAATAGAAATTTTTTAGCATTTATTTACACCTATTAAAACATTTTGCAGTCAAGTTATAGTCAAATGGGGTAAGACAGGATCGCAGCCTTCATGGGGTAAGAAAGGACCGGCCCATGGCATGTATTCTAATTGCACTGAATTTAATTTGACAAAAGAATATGTTAGAGCAATCATTGCCTGTCATTTCAGTGCTTGTTTCAACCCTCTTCTGCAAAAAATGAATTTCTGGCTAATTTTCAAAGAAAACCTATGTAAAGAAGGGTCACAAAATAGTTAACCCTGTTCAGGAAATAAGCTCTGTCTAATGACAAAAATTTTTTTGGCCAGTTTTGTGGATGTAGGCAGGTAACCTCAAGTAATAAGCAACTTTTGAGACAAACTAGGCATTCCTACCTGCTACCATCACTGCCTGACAACTATTCTAAAATGGGGTAAAAAAGGACCGGACATGGGGTAAGACGGGACCACTAAATGATCCTGTTTTACCCCACAAGTGGTCCTATATTACCCCATAAATGGTCCTGTCTTACCCCACAAATGGTCCTCTTTTACCCCATAGTTTATCAAAAATAGCTTTTATATGAATATATTATTGTGCATAAGTATACATGGAGTATTTTGGTCAACATTTTCATCTTTTGCTTAAAATAACCATTCTAACTTGTTAGCTTTTTTAATTAGATGAATTTAGCATAATTTTGTGAATTGCATCATGGGGATGGAGAAAATAGGGATGTCTCTTCCCATTAGTGAGCTGCAGAACAATGTGCAAGAGTGGTTAGGGGAAAAATCATTGTGTGAAACATAAAAAATAATTATCACAATTTTGTGAGAGGGCATGGGCTATGTTTGAAGAAGTGCACCACAAATGCAGTTAGCAAGAAAACACATGACGTCCGACTCTTAAGTTATTATCCATTGGTTTTATTACCAATTTGATAAATTTTCAGACAATGACACTATAATGGAATATACATGTAGCATATGGCAGTGCTCTACAATGAATCAAAGCCAACCTACTTTTTCTATGTTTAACAAAGTTTTCTTGTGGCAAAAACTCCAATGTGACTGATATTAGAGTTGACTTCCTGCAGCACAAAACGGTAACAAGTGGTTGTGTTTAATCAAATAATGTGTTTCTAGATGGATAATATTGAATATCAGATTTATATTTTTACTTAAAACCTTGTAACATAAGAATTACCTGTTGGTCCTTTCTTACCCCAGCCTGGTCCCATCTTACCCCAATGGGGTAAGATGGGACCAGCTCACTTTTTTTAATCTGTACAGAAAACTGTGTTGTATGCAAAAAGTCTGAGTTGTAGCTTTGAAGCCCATTGCATAACCACACCTTGTGATAAGTTTAGGATTTTTTAGTTATTCATGGTATAGATGCTACATGCCTGTCAGTGATTTCGGTCCTGTCTTACCCCATCTGACTATACCATATGTGTTGAAGGCTACAATATCATGCCTCTGACAATCTCCAATCATCTGCCCATTCATACATAACTTCACTAACGGCCATGCACAGGAATTAAAATATGAGCATTTAAATGAAAGTTTAGACTCAGACAATGAAATTAATGCTCTTTCCCTCTTTTTTTAAAAAATTCGGAAGAAACGGAATTGATTTATTTAGTTTAAAGTAGCTATAGAAAATTAAATCAAATTGCAGCTTGATATTAGTTTCCCTTTCCATTTGATTTAATACATTTTAACACCTTCAATTCATTTTAGCATGTACCAGTGACTGCTTTTATCTTGTCAAATTTTCATCTGTGATTATCTCCAATATCATGCAAAATATTAAAAAATCATACAAGTAAATTTATCTTATAATTGTTCATACTTTCTTGTAGTGGCTTCAGAAATTCATATTTCTGCAAATTTCTATGCAGGTTTAAGATAGTAAATTTGATTTATTAACAACATTCCAATAGTAATAACATTCATTTTCAAGTTATAGGAAGCATTGAATACTGACATTTTTTGGAAATTGTGATTAACTGTCTGGGTTTTAACAAGCTTATTCTTCCATCTAATACTAATATATATATATATATATATATATATACCGTACCTGAGTCCAGTGTAAGCAGATTTTTTTCCAAACCGAAAAAAAGGCATTGTGATATCACTATCTGAAAGAAGAAGTGTCCAGAAATTAACAAGCCTGATCAGGACCAAAGGTTAATTTTGTTTATACAGTACAGTTCTTAACTGATAAAATTCAAATAATGTTAGGGATGGAACCCTTACATTATAACACAGGACTGGCACTGAATGTATCTACTTTCAGGCCACAACCAGATAACCAAATCCAACCCTAATCATTAAAAAAAATACATTACACAATACTAAAACATTTACTATACATGCAAAACAATTAACAAACGCACAACAAACAAATTTACTTACAACAATACACATATATACTTAATACGTGCCCGTGCACATCTCTCTCAACACTTGTCACAACACCTACAAACTTACGTCCAAAAACTCAACAAAGAAAATAAAACATCTAACAAACACCCGCCATGCCATGTAATCTCAAAATACATTCAAAATACACTCCTTGTCAATCACCAAACTAACACAACAATACCTTACATAGCTTCACATAACTTATTATAACATTACATAAACATTTAGTAACATGTGATAACATAATATATAACAGCCTTACATATCATAACACAACTCTTTACTTTATCATTGCCTTTGTAAATTCTAACTGCTGTGGCACCATTGTATCCGGCCAGATGTAACTCCTGAGTGAGCTCTTCCTCCGAGGTCTCATCACCAAAAGGTCCTATTATATACTCCTGCTGACACAGTGTGATTAAGTGGGAGACTGGGAGTTGGCATTTGATCTTCCAAGATCCAATTAGACTGGTAGAGAGGAGTTTAGTGATACATTTAGAATCTTGGTTGTCCATTGTTACTATCAAAAGATTTTTTCCAGCATTTTTCTTGACTCCTTTGAGTCTTGACCCCTATGGTTCCAAAATATGATGTGGCTGGCAGGCTGGGGTTTTGCTAGGAGCTAAATCATTTGCTAGAAATTTGGTGATAGGATGTTCATCAGGTATAGGTTCAATAATCACAACTAAGGGGTTGCCTGGGTTGGCAGGTGTGATTTGCTCAGGTACTTCAGCTGTTTCAGCAGAGTGCAGAGAGAGCAGAAGTTTGCCTCTGCAAAAAAGGTAAGACTAAGAACAGTATCAGAGGGACAGAGTCAGATATTTCAGCAGAGACAGAGAGAGCAGAAGAGGTTGGCCTCTGCCCACAGGTAAGAACCGTATCAGAATCAGACAAGTCTCCCGATCCTATACTCCTAGTTAACCAGAATAGGTAAGACAAAAACCCATCAAAATTTGCCCCAATCCCATCATGTTGCAATTTTCCAGCCATTTTTTGCAATTTAACTGCTCCTTATATGCCAATTTATCAACTGCAATCTGTCTAGAAGCTTGCATCTCACATCTTACTAGGCTTGAGAAGTCATCAGGTTTATTGATGTTTTGAGTTTGAGCGTCCCCAAGTATATTCGCATTGCCTCCAAGCTGCCCTGTCATTGGTACCGACTCGGAAATGGGAGTTTCAATCTCTGCCTCGGGGTCAGATGTCCCAGATGAAAGGCTACCGGTAGGGTGGTAGTTGTTCTTGCTTTTTTGGACGTTTACTCCCACCCCGTCCCATATTCTAAATGTCGCGTTTATAAAATAATTATTAATGGGAAGGTACAGAAAAAGAAAACTTCTGACCAACTCCAAGGATTTTTCCTGCAAGTCAGAAACGAACTGACACTAACATTCAAAACTGAACGTGTTCTACCACGGGAGAATGCTGCAGCTTTTTCATGCCATATTTTGTGATGACATTTTTGTATTTAGTGTAAAAAGCATACAAATTGTACCTAAAAGGCTAAAACTCTTGTGTTTGACATCCAGTAGGAGCGAGAACATTTATTTGTGAGATTAGTTAAACAGTGTTGTATTAAATCGAAAGCTTGTGGGTGACTGTGGCATCCATTTGCAAAATGTGAATCCAAAGCAGCAAAGCTTGTCTGAGCCTGGATCTGCCTGATGGAATTCAAGTGTAAAAAACAGTGCCTGATTGTTCTGTACTACCGTCAACCGGGGCTACTCGGGACGGGCAGGGTAACTCGGCACAGTCCTCAGACACGGCGTAAAACTGTTTTAGTAGCAAAACTAATTGGAATATTGCAAAACTAAACATAGTGGCATAAACATCAATGTTTTTCCTATCTATGTAGTATAAATGAAGTTCAAAAATACTACATTCACTAGCTTTGAAAAATTCTTGAAAAAAATGGTGAAAAACAATATTTTGAAAAGTTACTTCTGCTAAGGTCTGTAGTAAAAAAATATTCACCGTATTAAAAAATTTTACTTACATAAAAGTTGCACCCAGGTGTCGGCTTGAAAATGTAATTGACAGATTTTGCCTATCTCATTCCAAAAAAAAATGGCAGTCATTTCTGCCCGGCGGGGCTATTTGGGACACCCCCAAAAGCGCATTTACAGTAGAACCTCAATTAGTAAAGGCTCCAGTTAAGAAAAAAATTGATTAAAAACAAAGAATATTGATTACATTTACCTTGCTGAGCAAAAATAAGTTCAGTTATCGAAAAATTATTGCATCATTGGTCATCACAAAATTGTGCATAGAATGTCATATTTAGAATTGTGCACTAGGCATCATAGAATGAAAAGTAATTGACCTAAACTATGATTTATTTCTCCAAAACATATGATGGTTGTCACTAAAACATTCCTTTCTGTTTCAGGTACGTTTTTCACTATCTTTTCAGCCCATTTTCTCATTTATGGAAAAAATGCACTATTGTGCTCATCATGTCTGTCTGTCTGTCCGTGACCTCAAGTTTACATCCATGAGAAAATGCTCTCTCTGTCACTCACTGCAGTGAGTACTGAGTTATATTTTTTATAGTAAATTCACTTGACCCAATTAAAATGGTGTGAAATTACAAGCCGTCCTGTAAGCTTACAGATACAGAAAAAATGCTATAAGGCTGCTGATATGAAGCTTGCAGTGTACAAGGTTGTTGTAAATGCTCAATGGCATGTTCATGGATATGGTAATATTGCATCAATAATACAGTACCATCAACTGGGGTGACTTTGGCTGTGTTTTTGATTTTGTTCTGCAAACAAAAGCGGGGTCATAAACGATGGCCAAAGTCACTCCGGCATTTATGACCTCGTTTACGACCCTGGCGTTCACGACCCCGTTTTTGTTTTCAAAACAAAATAAAAAACTCGGCGGAAGTCACCCCAGTTGACGGTAATATCATATCAATAAAGGAAAAATGAGTAAAAATCACAGAAAATGTCATTTATTCTACCTCTACATCATCTACAATGAAAGAGGACTTCAGAGTACTGTTAGTAATGGATGAATACACTCTGCATGCTTCAAATATTTTAAAATGAAGTTTCATTGCAAGTGTCCTGAGTAGCCCTGTTCGACGGGGCTACTCAGGATACTTTTTTTTGCTTCCGGCACCTTACGAATAGCATACCCAGGTATAGAATTTTTTTGACAATGCCATTCAATAACCCTCGCAAAGAGCTATAAAATGAGCCTAAACTTGTTTATGAAATGTTTCATCGTAAGAAGTTATTAACAGTTATTAACAAAAAAACGCTCAAAACTGTCCCGAGTAGCCCCGGTTGATGGTAAGAGATTATAATTTATTTGGTAATAATTGCTAACAGTCTATCTGCCTTATCCATCATACTTGCCATTGCCGTACATGTTTGTCCCTTAGTTGAGTTGGAGCCTGCTTGATCAGGTATATCATCAATTAGCTATGAACTTATGAGTGCCTCTGTGCACAAAATAAATAAATAATATCATAGTGACAAACCAGAGATTTTTTAGAATCAGTTCATTTTTAACTTCCTCATTTTCCTAAAATTTACACCAATTTAAAGTATTAATGTCACTTATTTGCTTAAATCGCAAGTTGACTAAAAATTTAAAAGCAAAGAATAGTCCACAAAAATTCATATCTTTATAGAAAACGTTTTGGAGTCCAGCTCCATCGTCAGTTCATAGAATCTAGAACATACATAGAAAGTCACATACATGACTTTCTATGTATGTTCTAGATTCTATGAACTGACGATGGAGCTGGACTCCGAAACGTTTTCTATAAAGATATGAATTTTTGTGGACTATTCTTTGCTTTTAAATTTTTACACCAATTTCTTATGTATGATAAGGCTGGTATCCATGATACTTTACTGGTCTACTTATGGGACTCAAAAATGAACTTGAGGGAGAGTCTATAAAAAACTCTCTGCTTTGCCACTGTTTGTGCAGCTGATATTAATGATTTTAAAATGGCTTATTTAACTGATTTGGGTTTAATTAACTTGCCATTTAATTTAGCTATGTTTAATGACCTTGCCATTTAATTTAGCTTTTTACATCATAACATGCTGATTCTGAGTGACTCATGTTTCTCTAAGACAAGAGAATGTTGGATCTCCTTGATTCAATGATGAAAACTATTCAAGTGGTCTGAGTGCCAATGAAGCACATAATGTGTAGTAGATCATAATTCAATAAGTATTAGTTGCATAAATACAGTCTGAACTCTGAATAGCTAGTAGTATGAATTATGTTCGAATTTTCAGTGATATAAAAACACAGGCAGGAAAATTGAACGATTCCAGAATTTTAAATTGCTTGTCTTGCTATCTTGTATTTTACAATGTATGACGAACTGTGTATTTTGCGCAGGTATTGAAAAATAAAAAGAGAATGTTCAGTAGTTAAGCTCAATTTTTTGGCAACCCCAGAGCAACATGAGTGTAATCAGTGTTTGACTAGGAGGTATTTTCATTGCAAGATATTATACAGCCAGACGGGAAAGGTTAACCCCACCCCTTTAAAACATCATAACACATCGAGTTTTGCCAGTTTTAACGTGCAAATGGTGGCAAACGATTTATCTTGCGCTCTGCAATCTATAGCAGGTTTCTTCTTCTTCTTTGCAGGGTGTCCACTTGGAGTGGACTTAAAGCCGCAGGTCTGCCAGATGGGTGACCATTGGGCCTGAGAGCTTATAGCTTGTGGTTTTCAGCTTTTTTGTATATGAAGTTAATTGCTGCCGTCTTGTGAGGTAGGCTGATGTAAGCTCAGTACAGGATTGGGTAGAAGTTTACAGTGAACATACATTAGTAAATGAAATGAGTTACTGCTAATGTAATTTAGATAAGTAAGAGCTGCTAATATAACAAGCTTCATTAAACAAAAACGATAATAATAATATAAATATATACATAATTATAATAATATTGAAAAAAACTAGATTATCTACTTGCTAAATCGAAACATATATCAGCAGTTGCCATGCATTAACAATTCTATCATGCTTATACAGCATTGCAAGGCGCTCATCTAAAGATCACTTAGCTTACCTGACTTTAAAATAAATACTACATTGAAAAATTGAGAGATTTTCTGTGGTACCTTATCACTAAAGTTACCTCCCCCCAGGAGATTACAAAGGTCAAGTTCTACATTGATGCTTCTCAAGTTACTTAGTAGCTCCTGTCTTATGAGCACATGACGCTGACAGTCCAGAAGAAAGTGAACAATTGTGTCTGTTGTGTTGCAGGTGGCACACTGATCAGAATCACTCATTTTAAACCTGTGCAGATAGCTCCTGACACCTGCATGCCCAATTCTAATTCTTGCAGATGCACATTCTAGCTTGCGAGACTTCAGGCAAAGCCAAGTGCAAAGTCGAGGTTCCACCATATTGTCACTCAAAAAAGCTCCTTTCCGAGTCTGAGCAACAGTCGTTTTCCAGTTCCTAGTCCAGCACTTGTGTAGTTTCTCCCTCAGGACAGTAAGTGTCTCCTCTATGCTTAGGGTGCTCATAGCAGAAAATACATTTTGGTGGCCCATGTTCGCTGCCCGGTCAGCAATCTCATTGCCTTCCACCCCTGAGTGGCCTCTCACCCATTGCAGTACAGTTAGGGCTTGCCTTTCTAGTACAACATCTTGGATTTTGTAGACGTACTCCTTGTACGAGTGGTTGACGGTGTTTCTGATGGCTTGCAGGGCCAAATGGGAGTCGGTCAACAGTAGGATGTCTTGCGTTCTTAGTCTTGGGGCCAGACAACAAATCTGCTGAGCCTTCAGTATTGCAAAGAGCTCTGCACCAATAACTGTCTGTGTTGGGTTCAGCTTCCATGTCATGGTGACTTTTAGACTTGGTGCATACATAGCTGCAGCTGTGGAACCATC